TTTTTTCAGAAATTGCCGACTTTAAGATTGAAACAACTTGAAGCACATTGAACGCCTCACAAACACTTGAGCTTGACCAAACAGTTTTTTGAAATCCAACCCTTTGTTGAAACCTGGAAAAATATATGTAAAAAAACACTGTATTTGTGGTCCAGGTCTACCTCTCCGGGGACGCCCCATCGTAACATATTGTTGTTGGTCAAGCATGGCACTTTTGCCTGCACATTGAAAAATCACAAGGCTGATAATATATCAACACATGCAAAATCATCGCATAAAAGTTCCTTCATTGTCCTTGATCCGGTATGGTCATTTGTTGTGCAATTCATCAATGATACCGGTCCTGAGGAATTCCGAAATGTTTACCAATGTTAAAAACGCGGCGACTCCATCTATGGCATATTTGTGTATTCGGGTGGGGACCGGGGATTAATGCGGTTGTGTATCTGGAGGGAGGTCTCCAACCAATGGATGTTTTTCTTCCAGAGTCTTTGGGGGTCTCCCTGTATGTTTAATTCAACCGCAATATTTCATGCATGGAGTATCATGGAGTGTTTGTGCTCTTCATTGGATCTATTTTCTTTGGATTCACCCAGAGCTACTTGGAGGCTTCACATCCAAAAAACACGTGATTTGCCTCGCCGCGCAGATCCGCCCTTTGCGAGATCGTGTGGAAACCCAGACGGTGTGGCTCGAGGGGAAGAATGCAGGGCCCGAACCAACAGATGGCAATTCACAGGGTTTGGTTTGGGCCCGAACTGGAGGGTCTAAGGATTTACAGTAGTCCTCCTGGAATGGATAGAGGAAACACATGGAAACACCTGTAACTTATTGCAAAAAGCACAGAGATGATCCTCATTGATCTAGTATTGTGATATGTTGCGCCATCTTTCTGTCCAACAAGACCCAACCATACTGAGACATTGAGAAGGGAAATGGCTTGACCCGTATCGAAGACACGCCACAGAAGCGATCTGTTGTTCATGGATGCAAGCTCAGCAGGAAAAGCGGTAAGTTATCTCATGTTTCCTTAAATTGAGGTATCCCACACGGTTCGAGGATTTGAGTATGAACATGAGGATAAACTACATCGTTATTTACTCTCTTACAATAAATATATATATATGTATGTGTGTTTCTTTTCAGTCCTCACCGTCTTCGGCAGCTCGCCTTGCAGCAACATGGTTAATCCACAGAGGTCTTTCTGTTGATTCCGCCGACTGACTGGTGTTCAGTAGGGATTAAGCTCTGAAGAGAAACTCCTTTGGATTAAGCCACCCTCATTCGTCATTCCTGACGAGTGCACTAGTCAGCTGATCACAGCCCAAAGGATCGTCCGATTCGCAGAGACAACGGCGACAGGCTGCGGATCGTTCGGTGCGGATCATTCCGGATGAAAACCACGGATCGGCGCCAACCGAAGATGTCCTTAACCCACTGGGTGTCCGGGTGTCAATGATTGTCATATCTTCAGAGCCTCGCGTGTGCGGTAACCTGCACGTGGGCGGTGCCAACTCATTTTCAGCCGAAAGCCTCTTCGGGCTCAAAACTGAATCACATGGCAGATCAAGAGCCGGGAGAAACAGACCACGGTGTGCAGGTTGGAGCTCAAACTCATTGACCCACTCGTTTTGCAGTAGATGACAATGATGACAATCTCTTTTATACTGGGTGGATCTGGGTGGTGGTTTCGGATATTTTGTTGTTCAACCTTTACTTGGGTTGTTTTCTACCCGCTAGGCTCTATAGTAGTATCACGACGACAAACCGACCAGCAGTTGGAATTGAAGCGACCTGGGATGTCTTTTACCCGGCGCTGAATCACTCACCCAGCGAAGAATCACTCACCCAGATCAGCCACATTTGACTGAAGCACCGCTCAGTCCGTACAGCTGAATCTCTCAAAGAGACGAAGCGAAGCCCGCGTTTTTGAGGGTTGATTGACGGTGGCGAAATTCCGGACGTAGCCAGGCTGCAAGGTTGAGTGGAGTCGTTCCTGCCAGTCTAAGGATGTACTGATACATGTTGATGTTTCGTGTTTGCCGAGCTGTGTTTTTGGGGTATAAGAGTATCCAGTAGAATGAGGATGTTGACCTATGGGGCAGAGACTATATATATGCATACTCCCTTGCCAAACTAGTCTTGTGTGAATGTTTGACAATGGTGATCTCAGGTGGTCTAAGTTCTTAACTCCAAATTCCAGGAGCATCCTGTTCGGGTGTCCTGGCAGGACTAACCCTACACTGCCTATAAGTGATCTGGCTTACATCCATCGGATGGTCTGGCTTAGAGCCTCTTCCGGCGATTGAAGTCGGGAAGGAGGTGGGGGGACAGGTGGAATGCATTTCTTCAGCCGGTGGGTCCAGCTCCAGTTACTCTCCCTGGAACAGTCCCATGGTTACGTGGAGTGAAAACTCACCTGTCACCCTCCTGTTTGCAGAGGAAAATGGCCTTCCTTTCAATGCACGTATATAAAAGTGTTCACCACCCCGAAAAGGCCCGTTTTGGAATGCTACGCTTGTGTAGTTGCAAATCAGCGACGTGGCAGATCAGAAGCGCATCAGCCAGCCGTGTTTGTGGGGTACCTGCACTCGAAGTTCAGTGTCCTCCGTTAAAGTGTTGTTACAACGTTTGGGCCGTTGGATATCGAAACATATCCTGTGAATGCGTCGGATGCTATATAGATTTATATAGTCCTTTGATGCTCGTCTCAGCTGCTGTAGGTCATGAGATTTCTTAAGGAGCCTATACCCACGCTTACCCTAGCTGGCCCTAGCTGCTTGTGGGTGTTCGTCATCTAGTTGTGTCACCCTAACAGTGAAAGGTGGAGGCAAAACCTGGAGCCCGACCAGTCCACCATGTAGCGTTTGACCTCCGTAGGTCAACCAATCCCGGTGCCATGACCCACAGCCATGTGTTTCTTGAAGTCTGGCAGTGCAGCCGATGGATTTCACACTGAAGACCCCCACAGTCCAGCGAGGACACATGTTTTCACCACTGGTCTCCATGGCTGGACTATCCAGACTCATCGGGTAGTGCCTGAAAGATCAGGTGCATTTACTGCAGGGTGCCGAACCCTTTAGAGGAGGGTACAGTGGCGCGAATGGAAATGGAAATGGAAAATGGATCAGGTGCATCTCCTTGTTTTCATATTAATGTTTGGTTCCCACCAGTCCCTGAAGCAAATCCAAGATGGACACGATCTCCATGATGGACATGGGAGAACCCCAGCCTTGAACCCCGCCACAGCTCGACGTCCTGATCGCATCGACTCCCGACTCCACCAACCAACGACCAGTTCGAGCAACCCGTCGCTGTTCCAGGTCGACCGATGTTCTTCCACGGAAACTCTAGCTCGGCCGACTTGCAGTGGTGGTGGTGGGTCCAACTCCTGATCGTTGCGCTGCTCGGCTCGGCTACGCGCTGCGCTCAAAGTCGGACTTGACCGGCGGTGAAAACCGAAGGAACTCGGAAGCCGAGACGCATCGGAACCAGTCGGGTGGCTTTCGGCTGAAGGAAGGTGAGATGACCAGTCGGCTTCCAGGTTACACCAGCCATCGAAGCATTGCGCATCTAGATGTTGGGAGAATGTCTCTGATTGATTAGGCTCAGGATCACCAGAATCAAGAATTTCAAGGTTTGGGGTTTAGGGTGAAATATCATCCGCATGTGATGGTTTGCACCAGATGGTTTGGGAATACGCCTGGGCTAGAGTTTGACCAAAACTCTCGAATTTGGACCCCCATCGCCTGGCCCCGTTGGGGCTCGAATGACCTCCGAAGACCCTCAGACCAATGGCCTGGTGTTCACCTCGTGTTGGCCCATGATGATAGTGCGACCTCCTCAAGGGCGATATGTCTTGCCGGACGAAGTAAGGGTGATCTTCCTCACAAATTGGTGGGGTGATGTTCCTCATGATCGTCAACCTTGAGTCCTCACAGAGGTAGCCCGGCAGATAGTCATGGACAAAAGATGACCTTCCTCTAGACTCTATACTGAATTAGCGGCTTGTCCCGGACTAGCCGCAGTTTTGCACAGGTGCAACTCGGTGTGACTCAAATGGCAGTTATTTGAAACTGTCTATCTTGTCGTTGGAAAAGTACATCAACTATGATCAACTACTTCAGTTGCTGCCTCACTTTGAGACACACCCCATGACAAACACACCTGGAACCACTTCTCTAACCACTTCGAACGGCGTGCAAACGGCGATGCCGAGGTTATATTGCATTTTAGCTTCCTGGAAAGCGATCCGATGGTGCAAAGCTTTGGACATGCGGGACCGTCGACCAGCGGACCCGGGACATGGCGACGGAACTGGCGGCGGTTGGGCGAAACGAAACATGTGACATGTGCTCCAACCTACTAGCGATGGCCTCCTAAAAGCAATGGCCTCCAACCCAAAATAGAAAGACCTCCCAAAGACCTCTTGGAAAAAGGGACCTAGCCAGGGCCAGGGGGTCTTCCTATTAAGATACACACCCATGTGCCTGGAGACCTCTAACAAAGAATGGACCAGATGCTGTAAGACCCCATTGTATTGGAATGGAATGCATCGTTTCCTATCAAGGCAACCCCGTTTTACTTTTGGGATACAATGAAGGTTGAATGCGGAATGTGTTTGTTTGGTGTTGGAGGAGCATTTCATAACAGAGCTTCTCATCATATATGGGGTGTTGGAGATTGGCTATCGACATGAATCCCACACATTCTTCTCACAATTTGACATTCACCAATCCCTTCAGACTGACCAAAAGCTATCAAAAGCTCGTTTTGAGATGCGTCCTCGCCGTTCCACGCGTGCTCCGTACCGTGCGTAGGAGGCGTGGGCTTCGCTGGAGAGCCGACTATTTACACGGACCTTCTCCGCCGTGGTGCCCGAGGAAGACGACCCCATCAGGCCTTTCTCGGTGAGGAACACCAAAACGGGCGCCCAGAGAACAGGTTGTTCGAAGGTGAGAGTGAAGCAGCTGGGTTATATAGTAGGTGTTTCTGAATTTCATGTAGTTTGCAATCAAAATATAATCTTACTGTAGTTGCACTGTAGCTTCTTGGAGATACATGATGATACCAAGATATGCCAAGTCTCTTGAACAAGCTTTTGCGGAAAGAGGAAGACACGATCGTCAAATGCTAAGAGCTGGACGCGTTTGCTCCCCCGAAAACTCTCAGCAAAAAGGTCAGTAGAAACGGCGTCAAGGCATCCCTTTGATGGAAGACCCGACGGCAGTTGTCCGAGCTTTGTTGAAGCTGCCTCAAAACAAAGCAATGAATCTCCTGGGTAGTTGTGGTTGGAACGCCTTGGCTCATGTTCATGTCTCATAACTGCTGACAGAGCTGCTTGAGGGTGACCTCATCTCAGTTTGGATTTGTTTTGAAAAAGTACCCTCCCTCCAACAATCATGGAAGTGGAAAATACTACAAACAGGGGATTGTCCACGTCCATGGTTTGTTGGAGAGAAGGTATGTTCTCCACTCCAAGGCAGCCTGCCTTCGCCATTCTGAGGGGTGTGTGTAGGTGTGTGAAAGGACAAAGTGAGTCCCAAAAGCAGGAGCACCGGTGCAAAATCAGGTGATCAATCGATGATCCAAACCCATCGATGTGCCACGCGGGCGCTTGGAAAATCGATGTCTCGCATGCGCTGGATGCAGGGAAAAGAGCTACAAGATGCAGCTGGATGGACTTGAATCAGAGATCGCTTATGTGTCCCTCACACAGGCGCGGGCGAGCGAGTTGGACTGTGGACGGTGAAAGCCCAGACAACGAACTGGAATAGGTGCTGCCCCTTTGACCCCTTTGACCTCCGCACTCTATGCTGTTGGGCATGTCCCACGTAACAGTCGGTTTGTAAAAGAGTATGACGACTCTGGAGAAAGGCCTGCAACCTAAGCATCATCCACCCCAGACACTCCATGTCTAACATTTGCTTACATTGACCCCCCTGGCACCACCCCAACTGATCGGCATATATGGCAGTCCCATGGGTCGCGTTTGGGCACTGAAACCCTGGTTTTGGGATGCGAACAACGGAACCTCCGAACCGCCAAGTTCTTTCTCAGACCGATGTTCATCGAGCCCCGCTGGGTTCCCGGCCGGCAGTGTGTGGTGTGGTGGGTTCGCGATCTCACCTTTGCCCCACAAAGAGAGTTTGAGGCATGTTAAGGATGTTAAGGGCACAAAAAACGAGGATCAAACTTCAGGTTCACAAGTAGAACATTGATTAAAGCCTATCACCATGAATTGAGATCACACCAGCTCTACAAAAGCCAGAAATCGCGGATTTTCAAGCTTCAGTGATTCCCCACACCTGCAAGTCCCCATCTCCGAAACGTCTATGAAGCGTCTTATGTCTGGTACTTCCATTGGTCCAACAGTCAGTGGCCCCAAGGTCATCGCCCCATTCTGCCTCTTCACGGTGGTCATGTCCTTGGGAAGCCGCTGGACCTCGAACGTCAGACGGCCCGTCGGACCAGGTCACATGGCCCGTCGGCCTCCGGCGGGTCAGACGGCCCGTCGGTTGACCAGGTCATAGTAGTCCATTCTGTGCATCTCGAAAAACCGGCAGGTCCCCCACTGTTTTCAAGACCGGCAGGTCCGGTGAAAAGATCAAACATGTGAACACCGTGGCAGGTTTTGGTTTGGGTGTGTTGTTCTTGGGTCTGCTGGTCATACTTCTTGTTTGTATACCGATATAGAGCATATAGTTTGCGCAGTTTGTTGTTGGTTCTTGTTGCAGTCTTCTCCAACCGTCGCATTGCTGTGTTGTTCTTGCCGCTCTTGTTCGTCGTGTGTCCTACCGTATACCTATATTGCAATAGTTCTTCTCCGAGTTCTGTTCTGTTTTTCTCATTCTGATGTTGTGTGATGTTGCATGCATGCTTGCGAATGCCCTCACCTTCTCTAGCGTTCTTCTTCTTTTTGTGGCTCCTTCTTTCCGCCGCACAGAGAACATACAGGTCGGCCTCTGCCTCCTTCTTTGGCCTTGATCCGAAGATGGGTCCGTTTTTTGTGTTTGCTGGCGTTCCGCTGGAGGTGATTGGTTCCGGAGGGCACCGATTGAGCACCCTGAAAGAGTCCTAAGAGGTCCATCTCAACGGCTCCATCGCAAAAAGAGGTCAACGGCTCCAGTCGTCTTCTGGTTCCAAAGGACCGGAGTCGGAGTCAGGTTCCATGTGTCAGTGGGACCGTACGACTCCACCACTCCAGTGTGGAGAATCACTGTGAATGTGATTGAAACTACCAGTCAGAGCTGAAACAAAATGGCAAATCATACCCAAAAGAAACGCAGTAGTTACTGTTTTGACTGACAGTTGATTGAAAACAACGAGGAGATCAGTGAGATCAGGAGATAATTGAATATAGACGCTGTTGCCTCGGAATGTCCTGACACAAACCCTAGATCAGTTCATACCTGGCCTGGACTGTGTTTTTTCTAACGTAATTCTGGTGACAGGATCATGGGTTGCAGACTCGGCATTTAGATGGGAGACAAAAGATCTACAATTGTTTACAATGTAAGAATTATGGTTCACCAAACGCCTGGTTTTTGTTTGGATTTGAGCCATTTGGACGTGTACCAGAACAGGGAGACCTCCAAAAATACACACACACTTTGTCCTTTCTCGGGTGATCAAATGAAAAAAGCTCGGGGGGGGGCCTCAATGCTTTGGTATTTGGACGCACCTCCCTGTATAAGTATTTTGATTGTGCCAGGAGTTGCTTCGTTGGAAAGGCGCGCTTAAATATATAACTTATAAGCATACTGCAGCATACTTAAGCCACCCACGACCAACTAGTGGCACTAGTGGTGCGGTGTATGATTATACTCCCAGATTCAATCAACTTGGCGGACAACTGTCGTTTAAGAATCTATATTGGGACCTTTGTGCTTCTACTTGTACCAGGAACTTGCACATGTTGCATGTTGTTGTTCTCCTTGGCCATGGCATAACCTTCACTGAAATTCCTTTGTTGACCCGCCTTGCTTTTCAGGGTCTCATCGCAACATCTTAGAGCTGGTCGATGCATTATATAGGTCTCCCTTCGTTGTTGCTTCATTTAGATGCTTCACTTGACATAGGAAGGCGAGTGAGCCGACCCCCAATTATCAAGGCGACCTATCTGCCAACTGAGGGAATTTGGATCTGGATTTGGAGAACATGGGTCTCGTCTTCGGCGACACCAACACCATGCCGCTGATCGTCACCGGCATCGTTTGGTGCAGAGGCCCGTTGCCCCAAAGACCGGTTTGGACCGATGAAACAGGTGGAATCAGAATGACCCGACCAAAAGGCTTGGACCCTGCAAAAACGACACAGATGTTGTCCCTCAATACATCTCAACAACGCTCCGATCTCCACGGTTGACCAGTGAACCAGCTGGTCACTTCGGAACCTGATGCGCACCCTGTCGAGGCATCCCACCCAGTCGCATGATGCGCATCTCCATGTGGCTCCTCCTGGCCGCCTGGTTCGGTGCCTCGGATTCCTCCGAGCCCGGCTGCTTCGCTGCTTCGGCGCCTCGAGATCCCTTGGACCGGTGGAGAAGGTCCGACGGGCGACTCGGATTCCTTCGAGGGTCAGATCAGGTCTCATAAAAAAGGTGTCACCTGACCTGAACAGATCTCTACAGGTCGCGCTCCGAGATCCCTGGCTGAAGGAAGACTTCAAAGTCGCTCCTTTGGTGACCTGTTGGGGGTCCAGGTACTCGTAGATTGATGTTGAATTCATGGCATTATGACAGGTCTCCAGGTTTTTTGCAGCCTTGTTGGAGGTCTCAATTGGTGAACTGTGAAGTCGGGTGCTGGTCTATATATACATATTGTGTATATATATATATACTTTTCCGGTGGTTGACAAGGTGACTCTTGGGTGATCTTGACTTTGAGGATCTTTTAGCTTTGAGTGTATTATTGTATGATTGCCTTTTGCATCCTTTTGCCCTTAAGGTCGGAATTGTCAGGGTGTCTTGATCGAATTCGTCCATTGGCAGAACCATGCAGCCCAGCCGAACCACTTTTCGAACAAAATCACGGTCGGTCCCTGCAGACGATGTCAATTCTGACACGATTGGGAGGGTGTTCAGTGACACATGACTCAAAGTCAGACTCGGTTCATCAAGAAACCAATCACAACCGCTAGCGTTGGCAGGTTTTTGACTGCTACGTAGCCTACGGAACCGGCGCAGCATCGGCACCATTGGAACCAGTGTTGTTTCGCATTGTTTCACCACTGCCCATGTGCTTTGTTTTAAGCGGTTAAGGTTTCTCTTTCAAGTGTGCAAACTGTACCTTCACCTACACTGACAGCCTGCACATCTACTTCCAGATCTTCCAGCCTTGGGTAGCCTTCTCCGCATCCGCATCCGCATCCGCATGTGTCACCTGAGTTGCCACCCTGGTGTACCACCTGGTGACCTACAACTGGCGCTTCATCGAAGAAGTTTGGCTGAACCATATGGTCTTCGTGACCGTGATGTCCTTAGCACCTCGGAGACCGAAAACGAAACGGAGCTTTCCACCGTGTGTGCCGAAGAAGTCGCGTGGGTCGCGACGCGGCCGCGTGGGAGTGTTCCTAAAGCGGTAGTCGTCAAAAAAATTGGCCACCTGCGAATTTGTGATGTTTGGGGGTGACCCGAACGAACAACGTGGGTGACCTTGAGATGCTTTGCCAAGATGAATACCTCAAGACTTGGTGAGATTTTCTCCACCTGTCAGGTGGAGGTTGTTAGATTTTACCCTCTCCTCTCCGTCTCCTCGCCTGACCTGCCAGCTCCAGATCACAGTGGGCACTCCCAGACCTCAACAGCAAGCTCCAGATCGCAGTCCGGACCTCAACAGCGAGCTCCAGGTTCCAGTGGGCAATGTCGGGCCTCAACAGCAAGCTCCAGATCGCAGTGGGCACTATCAGACCTCAACTTCATGATCCGGACCTCAACTGTCAATCCGCATGTCCCTTTTGCAGGCTAGTCTGTCAACACATGTGCTAAGTCGCCTTTTCAGGGGAGATCGCCCATTAGGCAACGCGGATTTTGCATTTCAGAACACTTCAATGTGTTTCAGCAAATCCTGCCCCTGTGGCTTCATCTCCCTCCAAGCACTCCTCTTGGCGCCAGTGGACCCGAATAGGGCTTGCTCCTTGGTATCTTGCCCGTACGCAGCCTTCCTCGCACGCGATAGACTCGGACACGCTCGAGAGGTGAAGTGGACGAGTGGAACAGAGGAACCCCTCATAAAGGACATGATCATACCCGATCAGACCGGCCTGCTGTGAGTTGGATTGCCATGAGTGACCAGAAGAATCTCGAATAACATCCATCAACTCCCCAGAAATGTCAACCTGAAACCGGAAATGTCATTGCGAGGAGTCTGTCCAACCTGAAACTAAAAGCACAACTGAATGGAAGTCTGGAACCAGAACATGTGAGAATGTGAGGCTCTTCAAGTCCGGCGGTCCTTCATCGTGGCCAGTATGAACCTGGGCGTTTTACAGATCCTGTGGGTGAGGTTTGCGGCTTAAAGTTTCTATGATGAATATGTGTGTTTGGTATTTGTTTGTCTATATATTATACAGAAATATTTTGAGATGCATCTTTGTTTGGTTAATCGCCATTACCATGTATCTCACACGATTCTTCAGTCTTTTTTGATTAGGTACCTGGGGGATCCAGCAATCCAAAGCCGACTCAGCCAGAACCCGCCCCTAGAGGCATAGGCCTCAGCGAGATCCTTCCCATGTGAACATATAGAACTAGGTGCTTGATTGAAGTCCTACTCCAAGGGGCGATGATCAACAAAGTAGCAGAACTGCAGATGCTTCGGAAGACTGTCTTGGAGCGCCACTCGTGCCAAGGGTGCTTCACACCTGCTTCTTCTTGTCACTGTGGCTTGGCACCCGAGCCTCCAAATAGGGCCAACGAATGGGCCATGGCGGAGTGGCAGGAAATGGAACTAAATGTTCGGCCTGAGATTGATGCCACAGCCAACACCTGCTCCGGGAAAAGCGGATCACCTCGCCAGCCTTTTTGGGGAATTGGGGAGAGTGCAGAGCAGCTGGTTTTTTGTAGAACATCATTCGTCCAGGGCCTAACGATGTTCCATTGTTTTAGGAAGGGTAAACAGAAGATGGATTACATACATGCATGTAGGTATGACCACCTCGAGTCTTATCTTGAAGAGTTTGATTGATGCCTGCTGTGTGGGCTTTAAGTCCTCACGGCCAATCCTATCTTGTGATAGGAATGCACCTTGTCGCACCTTCTAGGTCCAAGACATCTGGGCCGCATCGATACCGTAGTCCATTGCAGTCCCACTCGTGTTGCAAGCAGTTGGTAAAAGCATCGTCAAAAAGAATCCTCAATCCGCAACACGCAGTCTCCCTTGAAGTCTGCATCGGAGGGCTCGGAAAGCCTTTGAACCGAGGGCCAGCCCTGAACAACATATATATATATAGGATCTTCAATCCGTTGGCGTTTCCCAAGTCAACAATCCTATGCCGCCTATGCCTATACCTCAGACACACTGTGTATGGCATACCTACATTAGGGTGGTTGGTTTTCAGGGGTCTTTCTGGGGCAGCTCCAAGCTATTCCGCCCCAAGTCTCACCTGCAGACTGCAGAACAAAAGAAACTTGTCAAACAAGTTGGTTCAATGACTTGAAGCCCACGCCTTTGTGAATACCTCAATTACATTCAATTGCCGTACTCAGTAGGTCCCAAGATCATCAAGATCCATCTATTTTCCGCCAGGAGTTCCCCCTAGGCCTCCGGCCTAACATGGTAAGCATGTTCAGCTCACGTATAGTAATTGCATGTGTCTATTGTGGATTGCAGTCTTTAAAGAGAAGCTGAACTCATGCCGAACTCGGACGATTCTTCATTTGCCACCTCTATAGCTCCGTCACGAGGACCTTGATCAATGGCTCCGAGATCTACGTCGATGGCGAGAGGGTGGTAGGCCCATCCCCAGGCTCGCAAGTCTTATTAGTGAGCACCTTGGCCAGATGTGCTGGTCATTGCGCACGTGTCTGCGCGCGCACGTGTGTGGGTTGTGTGTGATTGCTCACAGCGCTGCGCTCACTTATCGTCACACTTGTTGAGTCCAATTGAATGGAAGTTCTAGGCGGATGAATGGTCCTAATTTGCAACAGAAGGTCCTCCTTTGCATCGACATTTCATGCACTACCTGCAACCACCTATAACCAGAATGCCTCATCTCAGCTGATTTTCCATTTCGCCATCCCATTCAGCCAGACCGGTGTAAAGCCATTCGGTCGGTTAGCCGTCATGCGTCATCCATCGTCATCCGAGGTTTGGTGGTGCTTTGCATCAATTATAGCCAGGTGCGGAATGGATTGGGTCAGCACGGGTTTCCGGCAGCTTGAAGGTCAGTCGAAGCAAGTCGGTTTGGCCCATAGGCTTGCTTCCCATTTTTGTTGACTTGGCTTCCATGTTGTTGGTGTAGACCCCAGACCTTCCATATGGGACTGGCCACCTTTATCCATCCAACGTCGACCGACTCCATTGGGGGGTCGGTTTTCGTCGCCATTTTCAGTGGTTGGAAACAATCGCCCATGTCACTGGTAGACACGAATGTCCCTGGTCGAGAAAAAAGGACTAACAACTAAAAACAGTGGGCGAGATCAACTGCAGGTGCAGATCAATGTATTTGTTTTGGTGACGGACAATCACGGACATCATGAAAAAATGTGACGGACAAACGATGTTCTAAGTATCTCTAAGTGGTTGTCCGGAACAATGTAGAGATTTCGGTTGGAGCTGAGATTAGCAGCAGCTCTTTGAGATGCGCACAGCTCTGCACAGAGAGCACCACAGCACAGGTGCTTTCACAGATGGTTTCGAAGAAGGCCAATGCGGAATACAACTTGGCCGCCTGGCTTTGGAGAGAAGGATGTGCATGGGTCAGTACGTGAGAATGACACAAGGACTTTATACTTGAATATTCTGGAATGATATGGAATGATTACATATACAACATAGTATATTCTATAAGTATATAACTATATAGTTAATTAATATATATATATACAGTATGACAAACAAGTTGTCAGTCCACAATGTCCACATACAACATCGTATGCCTGAGATTGTCATGGGATTGGTTTTGGGGTTTGCAGCCAGTCTGCGAGTCGAACTTCACCGAGCATCGGGATCGAAGCGTGTCTCATGTCAGAGCCGCGGTGTCTCAGAAAGTTCTCGGTTTCACATGCATCAAGATTCGTACTTTGCATCAGACACTTGAAGTTTTGTGGATGATGAAAGCATGCGGAAACTGCCTTGTGTTTCACATTCTCTCTGGTCCTTCATGCCACCGTCTTGCACAGTTGCTCTTTTGCACCACGTTGTTGTTCGAACCCAAACGTCCAAGGTCCAAGCAGAGGTGCTGCGCGTCACCATGGAAAAGAGGGCCTTGGATGCGGAGGAGGAGCGAGCTTTTGCATCGCGGAGACAGAGCTTTTGCTGACATCCGCAATAGATTGCAAAAGAGGTCCAGGATCAAGGTTTTTCGGAAGTTGCCTTGCCAGCAGTGTTCAAATTCTATTTGCTAGTAATTGCATTTAGAGAATTCCTACTATAATCGAGTCTTGCTTGTTGCTGTTCTATCATTTGTTGGTTGAGTCTGCTGGTTGGACATACTTGTAGGTTCTTTTAAAGTTCATACAGTCATACCTTCTTGGGCTTCCATACGCGACCAGAATCCATCGGATGCTCGCGTCCGAGTCCGGCCGTGCCTTGACCGAGTGACACGGACCTAAAATGACCGGTGTCACTATTGGCTTGGAGCGAGGGTGTGAGCTTCGTGAGCGGTGCTGGTCGTTCTTCTTTAAATGGCAGACCTGCTAAACTGAGTCTTCCTGGACGCACTCACCAAAGCTCCAAACCTCACTAAAACACCATAAGTCAACTCCTTGTTTGGGCCAGAAGTTGTTTAAGCAAGTCGGTGGTCGGTGAACATTTTGTTTTGTGCCAAATGGAGAGTCTGAACGGGCTGAAGAGCTGGTGCAGAGGGGGTCTTCACGCACAGGAGTACTAGACAGTAGATTGTCTAGCAATTGTTGTTCACCTAGAAGCTATGGGAGGAGTTTTGACCTCACACTTATGTTCTGTGGTGTTCTGTCCAAGAGTACCCTTGTAAAGACGGAGAATGAGGACCTTCTTGAGCACTCCTTTGGTCTCAGGTTCGACGAACACAGAAGTTTGAGGCGGAGATATTGCTTTAAGTCCTGAAAGTCTCAACTCATTCGACTCGCCCCTTTTGGTCGCCCTCATTCGACTGACTTCCCCCGTCCCCCCAGAGAATCGAACAGAATCGGTTGGAGTCCACCTTCCTCCGCCCTCCGCCTTGGAGTCCGCAGAAGGACCACAAGGCTAGTGTGTTGGGAAGCAACAAAGAAAAGGAATCGACACTGACACCTGCCAATATCGGTTCCGGGGTCTGACCCGGCTGGTTGAAGCCCTTCGTGCCAGGCCTCACGGCAGAAGGAGCAGGCCGCCATCCTGGCACGCGCGGAGCAAGACGCCAAGGAGGTGCGCGTTTGAGCTGCGGAGATCATCGAGCAGAATCGGATCCATGGTTGGTTGGACAGAGAGGGGAGAAGTATGATACAGTGGTTTGGCAAACCCTAAGGCCCTATAGGATGTTTTTTAGATAAGGGTCCATATAAATCACCTTTGGGGGATTGTGCCATCTACTCTCAATCCACTAAAAGTTAACAGTTTACTTTCATGAAGAGGGCAGGAAACCGCAGCTGGACTTCGGGATCCTTTGGACCATTTGGGATGCATCACTAGATATCTTCCATGTCCGTCCAAGGCCACAGACAGAGAGATTGGGCTGATCTGGACCTCCAGAGTCGCAGCCAAGAGCCGCAGGATCAATTCTTCCATTTCCACTGTCATGATTCATTCCTTTTCCTCAGATGTCTTCCATGAACCTCATCATACCTCATCCCCAGCCAGTGATTTGCCTTGAACCATCTTGAACCTATTAGGCAGTTGGACCGGAGATGCACAGACCAGGACCCCCCAGGACCCCCGGTGTGTAATGCTATAGCCTCGAAACAGGTGGTTTTCAGAGGTGTCCACTCCCAACCAGATCTCGCCCGGCAAAACTTGGGATCCCCGTTTGACGACTCGTCTTTTCCGGAGGCGTCTGGAGGCGCACCTTCTCACCGTCTCACACCTGGCAGGCGCTGAACCAGGCAGAGAAAGCAGACGATCGGCGTGTGGCCGCCGAGGCGGGACTGTTGCTTTGTTCTTTTTCGGGGTGCGTCACGCACCAAGCAGCCTTCCCACCCTGGTTCCTACCAATTGAGTTGGACAGTTACTTCAGAGTCCAACAGATGGATTCATCATCACCGTCCAGGCAAATGCGCATCTCATCCAGAAGATGCACGACGCCATGCAGAACTTGCTGTTGATGCTTTGTGACGCCGTGGTTGAAGTGGACAGCGCCCCTGGGCAGAAATGTGCACGGAATCAATTAGAAGAGTAGTCTTCGAGGGTGCCAGCATACAGAGATGATCCCCCACATTGGGGTCGAGTCGCCTGTATTTGATTGTCCACTATTATATGGAATTGAAAAATACCGCTCAGCAAATCAAGTCCAGACAAATACATTCATGGGCTGCTTCGCTGCGGATCCGCGAGTCATCAAGGGAAAGATGCAGCAGGCAGAGGATGTCGGTGTCAAATTCAGGTGGTGTTCTTTCCGATCCGCTTGAAAGACTGCGTGTGAAACCTGCGGTTGAAAGGCTGCGTGTGAAACCTATGGTTTCTGCCGTGGTCTGCCAATCATCTTTGAACTGGCAAAGCCAGGCCACTGAGGTGTTTTCGGAACCTCAAAGGCCTCGGTCACCGGGATTCACCAGGCCTCCGCAATCAAGCTTCGTGGTGGGTGAAAGTGTGATGGATTCATGGTGCATTAGTGAAAGACTTGAAAGAGCTCTGAAGAGCTCCCTATAGCACCTCTCTAGTGATATGGCACATTATGGCACCATCACGATCCCAGCTTGGGAGTTGTGAGTTGTGACGGCCTCACCTTCTTCTAGCCTGCTGAGGAGCTGAACATCTTAGACCAGGGGAAGCTGGGCTTGGTGCTCTACCAGCAGCAGAAGGACGAATCTTCACACCGGGAGCGGATTTCAGACCGCGAGAAAGGGAGTCTGAGCCCAAGCACTCCATGGACATCCATGAAACGGCCGCATGGGCACCACAATGTGGGTGAATCAGGGTGAATATGTCATAGATGGAGTATCATGGAGTAGTTCATGGAGTATATATGGAGTATATATGGAGTGTTTGAGTGGGTCTAAGATGTTTTAAGAGCTAAGAGCGACCGTTTTCGGGTTCCCGGATCCAACGGTGGATTCGTGATACCTTCATGTGGAATCCTGGCCAATCAACGGTTTCGGTGGCACAGCTCGAGCCGAAAGGACTTCGGTGTTTTTCGGATGGCACCGCTCAATCGAATCGAATGGCACGGCTCGGAAGAACTGTCAGGATTTGAAGGGCCGGTGCTTGATGGACTTTTTGCGACAGGAAGATGCTGAACACTTCAAGGAGCGAGTGCCTCGGCTTGCCTCGGCTGCCATACAGTGGCACAGTGGATTGGAGAAGGCATGATGCATGAAGCATCCCAACAACTGCAGGGACAACGGGTGTGTTCTGAGAAAATGATCACGAGCTTCAAAGAAAGATAACCAAGTAGCCAGAATGCTGTGTGGGTTCTTGACACTAAAACCACCCCCCGATTCGAACTCGAAGAGCTCAAATCCCTGTTTGATTAAACCCATCCTGAGATCGGGAAGACTGAGCCCTTTGGAAAGAGGGCGGGAAGGATTGATACTTGCTGCTTCCATATCTTTGTATGGCCCATCCCGCTGAGCCCGGTCCTCAGCCGCCCTTTCCTGAGCCCTGCGAGTGGGACACATCCGTCAGGTCCGTCAACAGCCCTGGTGCCTGGTCCAAAAACACCGATGGAGATAGGTTCGACGTCCCCCTCAATAGGTTCCGGTTGCCTCCATAACGATGTGTAGCTTCAATAAGGAGACCTCCAAACATTTCATGACCCCCTGGAAGGTTTGGACACTTGCACAGTCTACCCAGCCAGGGGCGAGCAGGGGGCCAGGGGTTCTTCCTAATTGTTGTAATACACCCACAAACATGTGACATAGGAATCCTTGCTCTTCTTCGAGATGAAGTCCAGAGCTCGTCAACGCCCATTTTACCCGTTTGCTTTCGACTCGCTGACCACACGAAGGTGGATGCCTCTGAAAAGCAAAACATCCCGGTCTCTGCCGGGCAGCTCAGTTTGTGCTGGTGAACCAAAGCGGTTGGATCATGTTGGATAGATTGATAGTTGGTTGGATGGTTGGATAGATGGATGGAATTCATGGATGGATAGGTTGTGCTGGGGTGTGTTTGTGTGAAGAGTAACTTCTTGCAGGAGTGTCTTCGGGAGCAGAATCACAATTCGACCGATCTTACGGTTTCAGACATTGCTATATTATTCAACCTCTACTTGAAATGATTGATCCCGCTGACTTGTATTTTGCAAGTGAGTTGCAGTCACCAACCTGAATCGCCAGAGCTCCCATCGCCACAAAAGCCGCACTTGAACAGCTTCTACTCAGCTTCTTCTGCGGAGCGGAAAGCGCGGTGTCACGGCTACTGTAGGTCACGATGATCGGCTCCTACTCGATGAAGATCCGTGTCACGGTCTACTCAACACAGATTTGGCAATCCGATGGCTCTTGTGCCCCGGTGTTTTCCAGATCTGTCCGACGCAACACCTGTAACACAGAGCGTTCGCGTTCGTCGTGCAGTTTTCCGGTTCCGGGTGAATATGATGGGACGTCGCAAAGAGATTATTTTTGCTCGATGTTGTTCGCCTGTTGATTTTAAGGTCTATACGGTCTATACGCCATCTATATTCTTACATTGAACTCCAAGCAACACATCTAAGCCAAATGCCGCATGGACTACTTGATATGCTATACCTTCTAGTTCTTCTGCGGAACGGTAGGTTCGTTACTGGTTTACTGTGTTACTATGACCGCAGATACCTTCTTCTTCTACCTCATGTGACCCAAACTCCCTCGGAGGATGATCCAAATCGATCAACTTGAGTGAGTGTTTTGCCCCTGGTTTCCTGACCTCGGGCGTCGCGGCGTCAATAGAGTGTTGCCGTATACCTCACCAAGCACCCGACCTCCTGGACATGCCCTCCCCAAGTGGCTGAGCCCTGGTGAAAGCCATTTGGCCGTGTCAGGCACCTACGTCCTGGGAATTTGCGAGTCGGAGGAGTTCAGCCAGAAACACCTGACCAGTGAGGCTGAGGCACCCGCCCAATCGCTCGATGACACCGCCCAATCGCAGAGGCAGTCCACCTGGTAAGATGGTGATGTCAGGAAGCACAGAAGGACCTTGCTATGGCAGTACTGGGCAATTTGGGTCAATGAGATGTTAGATCGATCTGGTATGTCACCCCGTTAGAAGTCAAGCTAAAACATGGAAGTGTTTTGTTTGTGGTTTAGTGACCCGCGAAGAGTTTGTCGAAGTCTCCAGGGGACTTCAACACCAGCTGCTCGGCTGACAAGGAACAACTCCTAACTTGTCAATATCAAACGCTGTTGGACTGCTCATTCGAATAGTCCTTTGCTTGGGAAATCCTCCACTCCCAACATGTGTAGCTGCCTGATAATGCCCCCAAAGAAACCGATGTGCCTCTCAAATTCTGCCATAAGTACCTAGAAGTACCTCTAGTTGTCGTTGAACGGCTCCTTTTGCCGCAAGATTCGCTCGCTTGAAAGTTCGAGCTCTCCGGTCCGGTCTTTGCACCTGTATAGACAAGCACAATCACTCGAAGCACAGTAATATCTTGCATACTTTTTCCTTGACATCTCGATTTGTCCATACTTCCTTCTCGAGGTATATTGGTCTCTAGTCTCTACTATTTATTTGTTGGTCGAACTCTCTATTTGCTCGATCTTGAATTCTCTGTTGAATCGCTTTTGTTCCCCTGTAATTCTACTGCTACAGTCTCACCATTCGCTTCGGCAGCTCACAACACGTTCTGAAAATAACGCGAACCTTTTCTCCGAAGCTGCGATGCGAAGAAGGCGAATGTTCTCACGGTCACACCTCCCGAAACCACGGCGATCTTCGCTTGACACTACCGGCCATTTTGCCCCCTGACTACTTTCAGGGACTCGGTCTGTCAGAGGCTCGGTCTCCTTCGTTGAACGAAGTACTTTTTGGTGCGCACGGCAACGCAACGGTTTCATAGCTCGGAAACGTCTCCGCAAGACGACAAAGTCCTCTTCGAAGGCTTTTCAAACACAAATACTCACACGTGATTAGCAAGAAACTATGGCATGAGCCACTTGCCAGGGAAACACCTCCAATTCTAAATATCTGGAGTCTCAGTTCGTACCTCGGACAATGGGTACGGTTCGGGTCCTGTTTTTGGTTCGGTTCCTGTCCCCTTTTCGGTGCGACAGGGTGATGGTCCGACCTCCCGGACTGGTCAGGAGACACGGGAGACGGACTACTTCAGCCCAGTAGGGTGGAGTGACCGGGAGACTCAGAGGCAGACCGTGGAAACGACCGAGTCAGTGCCGGCGACCTTCCCGGACCGACCGGGAAGTCCACGTCGACCGTTTTTTTTCGCTTGAAACCCGTTGGGCGGCGTAGCCTCCCGGTTCGTTCCAGAGAGATCTACGGTCAGACAGTTTAGTTGCTGGTGCTTCGAAGTGTTCGACACGTTTTTTTTCGTTTCACCTCATCACTTTGCTTATGCACCTGGAAAGGCGTATGAACACTTTTTTCTGTGCGAAGGCCGTATTTGGACAGAATTTACCGTATGGACATTTTAATTAACGAATTAGCGTATGTAGCCGTATGGACAAAAAAAACAATACAAAAGCGCACCCATATGAAACCCAAACTTTATCAACATTTTATCGACCAAAACCCAAATATTGATAAAACCATATAAAACCCAATCAAACCCAATATTCGGAGGACTTCCAGAAAATTTGTCCATTTGACAAAAAAGGCCGGATGCACGGATTTGTTGTGCGAACGTGTTTGAAAAAAATATGCACATCTGGATTCCCTGGCAACCCCAGATCCAAACATCCAAACAGATCCAAACAGCCTAAGGCGGTGGTGAAACATGAAGCAAACAGCCCCCTTATCCGCTCGCTTTTTCACCAGATAACCAGCTGGAAGAGAGGGACGTGTGATGTGTGAAGAGCGGGCTCCAGTCCCATACCTTCTCAGAAGATACCTAGACCAGCCCTCCAAACCTATCCCAAGCACCTTCAAAACGGAATAAAACGGAGGTACTTGGAGTAGCTGTTTGCAACCGCAAAACAAACAAATAATGCCCCGTGTTGGCAGGAAGTGTTTGGAGCTGTGAAAAAGCCGTTACCGCGGCCGGTAAGTTTGGGTGTTGGTTTCGATCCGAGGCAGATTTATTGCCAGATGTTTGGGAGAAGACTAGAGCACCAGCATCCCAGGTTGGGAGGCGCACTCTGTTGGGGAATGAATTCACAGCCCTTGGATGCCCTTCGCACCTCTGCAAACTAGTTCAAGCAGAAATCAGTTCGCTGCGGAAGGGAACATTTGTGACATCTGACTACAATTGAAACGTCTTGCATTAACAAGCCTCTCAAGGCCCCGAGAATGGATGAGATGCTTACAAACCTCAGACATCCTAAGACCAGAATCCTTGTGGGATCTCAGATTTTCCTCCAGAATTCACAAGAAACATATCATATTCTGAAGATATCTAAAGGTACTCTGTCCCGCTGCACACGCCCGTGTCCGGATGGCTTGCACTCACCTTTTCGGGGATTCCATTGCATGCATGGCGGCCACCCTTCCGAGCGGCGTCGTCGTTGGCTCGTTTCAGCTTTCATAGGTCGTAAACGGACCTCCTTTGACCGGGTCCGGTCCAAAAGCAGTACTCAATGAGGTCTTACGGACCCACCTCCAAGCCGCTCCGGTCCCCTGTCACCCATCCCATCCGAAAGCGAGCCGTTCGGCCAGGGGTCGTTCAGAACAGAACCCAAACGCCTCAGCCGTTCGGAACGCCTCACAGAGTTCTCCCCAACGCCGACATCTCTGAGATTGGACTAAGGACTCAGAGGCCTCCAAGCCTTCAGGCTGGGCGGCCCTTCAAGGGCCGCGGGGTGGCTGGGTGGAGCTTCACACGATGCAGGTCTCAAAGTCTTCAAAAGAAGCAGTTAGAAAGAACAACTAGAAAATGGGTATACACTCTCTCTCTTAAACAATCGTGTTTACGTGGAGTTCGCCAGCTGTTTGGTATTCGGATTTCATGGTCATCCAAGAGGCCATGCCATCTACTTCCTTGGTTCTTTCAGGGAGTGTACAGTGCAACACATGGGTCATCACCCTCCATCCGACTCCATCTCACGAACAGTCCTCCCCCCGCCTCCGCGGAGCAATTGAACTGCTCCCTATTCAGTGAGGGACACAGCGAGCCAAGCGCCTGAGGGGTCTGAGTCAATAGCAAAGCAACTGCGAGCCGAGCGCCCATGGTTGACATACCTTATACCGTTGGCATGTATTTTGTGGCATTGCGTGGATCAACCAAGTTCGCTTGGACTCATAGCCAAGTTCGCTTCCAACCCTGCATAAATGCACCCGTTTGAGGGCAAGAAGTGACTTGCCCATCGGATCCTCAAAGGCACGACGTTTGTTTCCAGCAAGCAGGCCCTTGTGCACACACACGATGCTTGGGCCCACATCCTTGGGGCTGCCCAAGAGAGCCGCCCTTGAGCGCCCTTGAGTCCATTTTCTCTCAGGGCGGTATCGTTTGTGAGGACCAAACTCCCGAAAACCAGCCAGAGCCAATGATTGTTGCTCTCATTGTCCCAGTCTGTGAGAAAGGAAACGACTTCTCTTTTGCTGCCCAAATCGGATCTTGGCCCCCGGTTTCTTCAAGGCTTTGAGACCCACATAGACTTACCCATCTGACCAGCTATCCCATGACGTCCCTCAGGCTCCGCCGGTTCTCCGGTCGATCTGGCGCCGATTCAGCCCATGGAGCCCGAGGAGCGTCTTCAGTCGCCGCCTGTTCCGAACGTTTGGAGGTTTCGAACACCGAAGGTTTCTGGTTGAGTGCCACAAGCGGATGGCCTCCAAGCTATTAGCAATGGCCTCCACCCTAGCGATGGCCTCCAACCTACTACCACAAGTCTGGTTGGGTGCACAACATGGACTTTATTTGAGTGCCACAATCTGTTGAGTGCCACAAAAAAAAAACCTATTGAGTCCCACAATCTGGGTATCCCAGACCTTCCATCTATATATTATAGAGTAGTAGTTACCTACCTTAGGGTCACAAATGGGGTAAATGATGGTTAATGTATTGTATGACTCTTCCATACACATGGAGCATCTGGGCCAAAAAGGAACACTCGGATCACAGAGAGGTTCACTGGGTCAGAGTGGATGAACACCTGGCTAAAGCAGCTGTTTGTTTGAACTAAAATTGGTTGATGCCGATGAACGACACAGGAATGCTTCTCTGGCTTTGGCTAGGTCGATGTTCACCAGGTTTGCTGGTGAGTGTACATTTACCGGGTGTGCCATTATTTTAAATCGTGTTCATATTCTTTCCAATATCCTTGGTTTAAGCTGGGCTGTGCATTTGCAATAAATCAACATGAATACAGTATACGATAAATCAGCACCTATATTTCTCGAATTCTATCTTTTTCAACGAATGGTGGGCCTTTTTCCGGCCAAGCCAGGTTCCAAGCCGCCTTTTACCCTGTCTCATGTCGCCCGTAGTCGTTCATGGGACAGCCTTGACGGAGCCGACCGGGGGCCGCACAGGTTCGATCCTGTGAGGATGTTGTCCCTCGAGAGCTCCAAAGAAGAACTTTTTGTCTCCAAACACAGTGGTCACATGTGGTCACGGTGTCTAATCGAGGTGTTGCACCGGGGTGTCCGGCTAATTCGCTGCTATTTACAGTACATTCATGCCTCGCAAAATCCTCGAAGTGCATTTCGACTGCGCAGGCTCGCAGAATCTGGGTGTCCGCGGCGGGTGCTTGTCGCGACTGCGCTCTCGTTGTGGTGCTGTGCACATTTTCGGACATGGTGGCCACTTTTCTTGGCAGGCGCACGGGAAACCTCGTGCTTTGGTCCAAAGTCGACTTTTAGTGACAGGCGCAAGGGATCGGAGCGGCTTTACTTCGATATGCAGATTTTGTGGCAGGTGCGGCACTTTGGACAAGGTGGGGATCGTCGAGGTGCTCTGATTTCGTGACAGGTGCAGTGAACTGTAGCTTTTGTGACATGTGTCTCGTTTGCAGATTTCGTGGCAGGCACAGCACTTTGTGAACCTCAAAGTGCTGATTTCGTGGCAGCACAGCACTTTGTGGACCTGGAAGTGCAGATTTCGCGGCAGGCACAGCACTTTGTGAACCTCGAAGTGCAGATTTTGTGGCACGCGCAACTTTGTGAACCTGGAAGTGCAGATTTCGCGGCAGGCGCAGCACTTTGTGCACCTTGACGCTCTCGACCTCAAGACCTCCAGAACGCATTCTGTGCTATCTGACGCGCGCTCTCAGATATGCCACTCACTCACTCACTCACTCACTCACTCACTCACTACCACCACCATCACCACGATCACCGCCTTCATCACCCCCATCACCTCTCTGGACCCCAATGAGTCTAGATCTCTAGACTTTCTGCTGCTACACCTCTAGACCTCACACTCTGACATTGGTTTTCAGTTAACTCAATTTCCAGGAGAAATGGCGATGGAACGGAACGGTGCAAGATCAGCTCAACTGGAATGTTCAACAATGTTTACGCATGACTGCAGAAGCACGGCCGCGGCGAGCTCAGCTGCAGAAAAAGGTTTGTGGGAGGAAACATGCAACCACCATGCATCAAACCGAGCAGATTAGACAGCTTGTGCAAACGTTGGTCGCAGGTACAAGAGTTGGCGTCCCAACTCTCCTCCAACTGATTTCCGTAGCTTGGTTGGCACGGATGGGAAATCAGTTTCCGTGCCCCCTGCTTGAAGTCGTAATGAAAAGTGAGAGAGGTAACCCTTCGGAACAGGGCTGGACACACACACGGTGCCGCTTGGCGGCGCTCGCGTGAGAAACCTGAATAGTTACCTAAAAAGCCTTAACGAAAGAAAGAAAGACAGAAAGAGCAGCGCTAAGAGGGCAAGAGAGAAAGATAGGTGTAGAAAAATGAAAAATGAATACTTAGCCCTTGACTGGGGTAGGGAACGAGCCTCAAGAGCCACCTAAAAAGCCTGAGAGAAAGCCCAACAAACGACGAAAAGCGCAAGAAGGAAAAGGGGGGGCAGGGAGGGGGTGTATGTCCATGTGTGTGTATGTGTGTGTGTGTGTTTGAATACCTAGCACTCTAGAATTACTGAATACTTAGACGAAGTGAATTAGGTGCACTAGTTGGGGAGCGGGACTTTTGTCTTACACCGCCCAGGTAGAGTAGACTAGAAAAGGGACAACAGAGGGAAAGGCACCGACACACAAGTGTGTCGAGTACCATTTCCCTATGTTACCCTAATTAGGTAGGGAGTAGAACACAGTGGGGGGCGGGGTCGGGAGACCTGCCTCAAGTGGGGGGAATGCCGTTTGTTAAGCCCGGCGGCTGTCAAATTCGTTTTTAAGCCCGACGGCTGTATGAACAGTTAATTCAGGGTGGAAAGGGAGCAGTGAGGAAAAGTCAATGAAGGAAACGACGAGCCAGTGAAATGAATTCCGGAATGAGTACAGCGCCTCCTTGCGGAGGATCACACCCAGCACCCACGTGGGACGGCTGAGCGGGTCACACTCTGACATTGGTTTTCAGTTAACTCAATTTCCAGGAGAAATGGCGATGGAACGGAACGGTGCAAGATCAGCTCAACTGGAATGTTCAACAATGTTTACGCATGACTGCAGAAGCACGGCCGCGGCGAGCTCAGCTGCAGAAAAAGGTTTGTGGGAGGAAACATGCAACCACCATGAATCAAACCGAGCAGATTAGACAGCTTGTGCAAACGTTGGTCGCAGGTACAAGAGTTGGCGTCCCAACTCTTCTCCAACTGATTTCCGTAGCTTCCTTGGCACGGATGGGAAATCAGTTTCCGTGCCCCCTGCTTGAAGTCGTCGTAATGAAAAGTGAGAGAGGTAACCCTTCGGAACAGGGCTGGACACACACACACACACTTTTTGGGGTCTCTTGACGGGATCATAAGCAAAACATGAAGGCAAGCGAAGCGACCCAGAATTTGTGGTGATGTCGGATGAACGATATCCAGGGTAAGTGTTGCTTCAATGGTGTAGGTCTGAGTTACAAGTCTTAGCCACCCCCCAGCTCACAAACTCAGGCTTTTGCCGCTGCTTTGGTCATGGCCGGTCCCGGCCCGACCTGGGTGCTGCGAGACACATCGCTTGGTCGATGAGGTGGGGATGGTCAAAATGGAGGAAAAACAGTTTGAGATCTCGAGGTCTGATGATGTTTTGCCAGCTTTCCTCTCCGAATCCCACTGTGGACGGTATTTGTTCTCGTGGCCACCCATCGACAGTCTTGACATGTCATGTTCATGAGCTGTTCCAAGAAGCGATCGAACTCTTTGGAGGAGCCGATCGATCGAGAAAGGAAAAACATTTCTCCGAGAAAAACCCTCGCAGTGTGGAAATGCGGCGGGTTTTTGGCCCACGTCATCGTTCTCACAGCGGCAGTCGGACCTTCCTCGCCGTGTCCCAAAACATCCCGATACCATTCACCTCATCAAGCGTATACTTACTTGTATAGAACTTAATGTTAATTACAATGGATTGCGGTTCGTTCGGATTATAGACCTGTTTCAGTTTAGCAAAGCTTTCCACCGACCTGTCGGGTCGATTTCTCTTGCTACGAGGCCGTGGAGCTCATCCCCAAGTTGAAAGGCTTAGAGTGCCAGGAGGCTCCACGGTGCCTCATCTGGCAATGCCCTGGCTGTTCCTCGGCCGGATGGCGCCACGCGTGGGTTCAAGAAGGGGAATCTGGAGGAGCGATGGTTGCACCTGGCGCTGCAGAACTCTGACAGAAAGATGGAAGAATGGGTCAAACGCACTTAGCCTTTGCAGGAAGTGAAAGTGTTGGCCCTGCATTTCATGACCACCATGGAACGTTTTGGACTTCTTCTATAAGATTTAAAGGGTTATGAGGGTCCGTCCTGTGCTGTTTGAGGAGGGCTTGATGGGTTTGCCAGAACGTTCAGACAGACTTATACCAGCTGCGGCAAACCTGGAGAAACTTCCAGCTCCAGCTTCTATTCTGTCGACCCTACAGGCGTCTAGAACTTTCTCTTCGGTGAAGTCCGGAGTCGGAACTAGAAATAGCATGAGCTCATGAGCTCCGAACCCAAATCAATCTCTATATATATATAGAGAGAGAGAATCTATTCACGATTCACATTTGATTCCTTTTTCCATGCATTCCATCCTGAGACCCATCCCAAAACGACCTTTCAGAGGAAAGAAAAGAACGTAGAGCAGATAACAAGACCAACGCAGTACTATACTGTACGGTGGGTTGAGAGTAGATGGCATAATCCCCAAAAGGTGGTTTATATTGACCCCTATATAAAAGATAATCTGAATCCACTGTACTAGGTCCGCTAGGTCAGTCCCCCAACGCAGCACTAGAGCTATAGTTATGTCCTCGTCCCCTGTCCGGACCCTCCACCAGCCTTCGCCTTGCACGAGGCAAGCTGAAGGGCGTCCCAGGTGAGCGCGACTTCTACCGCCCTTTGGAGAAGACGTGCGGCAAATGTGCCTCATGGGACATGCTGCTTTAGGCCAGCCACACTGCGCCCGACGAACGCACGAACGACGCGGCTGGATATTGTTCATGCAAGGATGGATGGCCCGTTTCATGGAGGGCAGTGTCGCCACTGGATTCAGAAGTGCCCCAGAGGGGTAGCTGAGTGAGGTCTCATCCCAATCAGTTTGTCCTCGGGGTCGAATCCAGACGGTCGCCTGATCTCATCCTGTCGTCGCCATGTGATCTGTTGCGCCGGAAAATCAAAAGTCTTGAACTAACATGGAAGTGGAGAATGACCCCTTGGAAGACCATGAATTCCACTACAAACAGGAGGTTTTCCACTTCCATGTTAGTTCTAGGGAGAGAAACAACCTTAGGTGACCGAAGAACCCGAACCTTGGTGGGTATTTACCACCCCACTTTCGTCAATGCCGGGGACGCCCCGGAAACCACTTTCCATCCAAGAGGTGGACAAAGGTGAAGAAACTGGTAACGGGGATGTTTTCCATGGAAACGGCTTCAGAGCTTAAGGTCTTGTTCTATCATGTTCTATCTATGCTGAAAACCGTTTTCATCGACTCAGTGAAGAGGGCGAACTGCACTACTTCAACTCTTTGACAGCTAGGGAGCTTGAGAGGCATGAAGCAACTTGTCTCATCGCCAGGTTTGCTGGGGGAACTCCTTTGCTTTCATGGTGGGTCCTATGAAAAATCAAATCCCATGACAATCCAGAACTGGCCGATGACACCGGTCCAAAACGGATCATTTTTGCCATCCATAGGGTTCAGTCGCTCTGACAAGATTTCACCAGTCGAACGGTCACAGGCTTCCTCTCGTTCCCCAAACGAAGCCCTGCCTAAAGGCATATCTCCGCTTCTGACCACTTGGTATGGCCCAAAACATCTACCAGTAGTTCCAAAGGAGTGCTTCATGGAGGTTAGGGGGTGCCCATTATCCACTGACTCAGGGATTAAACACCCCTTCGTGATCCATGGAGAAAAGAGAACTTGATTTTTGTCCATGCCCATGGTGCCTGTAGCCAGGCTTCAGCGGCCGCGTTCAGACCGTGACGACCTGATCGGGGCGTAGCACGTGGTTTGGAGGGATCCAAGCCGGGACGTGCGGGCGGATGGTGTTTCTTTGTTTTTTTAAAGCGCAGCATCCGAACTCAGTGGAGTCGAGGCTTTCGGACCTCCTGTTGACCAAGAAAGCAGTAAGGGTAGCTGAAGCATGCTGAAGCCAGATTTCTCTCTCAGAAGTCGAACGATGCGGTGTTTTGCCCGACAAATACATCGAATACATTCTGTTTTGGTACATATGGTCAGGGGATTTCGCTGCAGCACATTCTGTTGGTCCCCAGAGCCAGCACCACATCTCACGCAGCGAAACTTGTTTCAACATTCTGAGATACGCCCGCCACGTGACGACGAAGAGATTGGAATTGTGTACACATCTGTGATGGAACATAGTCAACTGCATGCTTGATTTGGTTCCAACATGTCCCCGTCTACGGTCGTTTGTGCAGTATATATGGCATCCGGGACTGGTGCTTAGTGAATCATCGGGGATTCGTGCTTGGGACTAACATGAAACACCCCGACATGGTGGACAATTGTTGATTGACAATTGACGACTGGAGAGGTCCAGGCTTTCGGTTCTGCTGCCGGTGGCTGGGGATGCAAGTTGCCGGTTGCCATCTCCAAGCATTCCTTCTGTGTTTGAGAAGGTGACCTTGATACTTGTCCAGCATTTGTTTCCTGAATGTCCAACGCAGTTTGAAAGCAATGGTGGGTGGCTGTTTGCACGTGCGCGCGCGCGTGCATGTGTGTGTGTGTGTATCTGACGGGACCCTGCCGTGACCAAACATTGCGCAAAGACACTGGCCTTGACATATTTAATGTCAACCCCGGATTAATAACCCCCCCCCCATGGAAGGTCAACAAGGTCAAGAAGGTATGAGATACCACTCATGAGGTCCACTCCCCCTGAATAATGTGCTATGAGACCATTGGACCATGAAGGATGATACCAGGCTTTGAGGGGATGAGCTGATGAGCATGAGGCCAGAGTCCATATAGGAAGCAATGACAGCAATGAGTTCATAGTCATAGGAAGCAAGGGATGAGAGGAATTGGCTGGTAACATTTGGGCTCAGAATGGATATTGGCTGGTGAGCAGGTGAGGTAGTCTCATAAGCCACCATGTGGCAAGAGCTAAGATTGTGGCTAGACGTGTAGGCATTTGCTCATCCAGCAGATTTCAATCAGGCTGCTTGAGGTGTGATGAGGCTAAGTGCCTCGCATACTGGATGAGGAGGGAGCACAAGAGAACTGGCAAGCCCATTGATGCTAAGTATCAGATGGGCAAGCCATGAGCAAAGACTCAGACCTCCTTGATGAACTGAAAAAGAGATGAGCAGCATGAAGTGAGAGTGGCTGAATGAGCAGCATGAGGTGAGACTTGCTGAATGAGCAGCATGAGTTGAGAGTATAATGTCAAGTCAGGATAAGTAAACCTCCACTAGTTAACCCCTTATTAAAAGATATTAAAAGTATATACTCTTTTTTTTGGACTGTGCAGGCTCGGATTAACTGGGGGGGATTGTTGGTAGAAAACTAGACCATAGGGGGGGAAATCAACAGCCAATAATACTTTTAATTTGGGCAATGTCCGGCGGCTTTGTGGGCTCGGGATAACTTGGGGGGATTTATTAATCCTGACTTGACATTATATTTATTTATATACTTGAACGGACTGAGCTGAAGAAGGTTTGCTAAAAAAATGGAGTCACCAATGCCGGAAAAAATGGAGTCACCAATGCCGGATGCCTGCTACATTTTCTATAAGTGTACTGCACCTCCAATTCAAATCGTTGAATTTGAGTCCAGGGGTAGATTCTGTCGATATAGTGACCTTTCAAGATAGGATCCTGTCTTCTCGTTTTGCTCGTTGCCCAAACTGAGCAAAAACATCGAACATGATCAACCATGAGCATCCAAAAAGTTCATACTGTTTTCGGAACCTCGGAAGAACACTGGAAAGTTTGTGGAAGTCGAGGTCATTTCGGCTGGTTAGCGGCACTTTCCGCAGGTTGTCAAGAATTGTCTCCACTGTGTTGGTGACAGCACCCCGTTTCAAACCCCGAAGCTAAGTTGGTTTTTTTCGGGGCCACTCCAACGAAGAAGGGTTTTCAGGTGAAACAGATCGCTTGCGAAACTGATCCCAGTTGAAGCCGCGCACGTGGGGTGTGTGAACAGTGGAATAGGATTAGGATTCGAGGTACTGTCGGGAGAGAGCACTGAGAGTGGCTGGTGGAAACTACTGTACATATTGTACATGGTGTTCTTTTAGTGGGTATTGTTATGGCAACTTGTCTAGCCCGGCCCTATACCAGGCCAGTCGAAGACTCGGCCCAAACTTCAAGACTCGGCCGAATGGCATCCACAGATTTAAGCCGATTGGCGCGGAAGTGTTTGTGGCGTCGCTGATTGGCAGCTGTACAGAATTCCGGACGGAGATGTGCAGAATTCCACGGCCGTGGTGTGAACTCCTTCGGCATAGGCCGTTCACCGAAAAAGTCACCTCAAAAAAAGTTGCGCAAAAGTGGCGTTAACTGCAAGTGGCACTTGGCGCTTCCGTATGCGTCTTCTTTTTGTCCTTTTGGTTTCGACCGTAAAGAAAGTGGTAAAGCTGGAAGAAGTCAGCTGTTGATAACTCATGATAACTCTTCAAAAGCCAGCTGTACAAATGGATAAAAGGCATACCCTGCGAGTCAAAGACCATAAAAGGAATTATAAGAATTGTCGTCTTTAGGTGACCTGAAAAGGAACTTCCTTTTACTTCAATGGGTCAAAATATAATACTTTATAATGCCACAACGTCATAATATGTTATAAATATATAATAGTCTTTGGACTTTTAGGGAACACAGTCCGTGTAATGGGATGCCACTCCAGAGCGGCAACACAAGAGAAAAGAACCGGAGACGGCATGACGAGAGCAGGTCTATCAGAGCGCAACGCGGTGTCGGTGCATGTACCTTTGATATAGTACTGCCGTCCATAGAGAGGACATGTCACGGACAGCCCCCCCGAAGCAATCCTGTTTGTTGGTGGACATTTGCAGAATGAGTGCTGCATCGCAGCTACTTGCAAAACCACAGTTTATTGGATTGCACCTCGGACAGTCCGATGGTTGTAGAGCACTCCTACCTTGTCATTCGGCAGAGAGGTGGTCACCCAAGTAGAGGGTGCGACACATTCGACACATTGGACACGTTGGCACTTTCAGTCCTTTTGAAGATGTTTTCAGGAAAGAAGAGCAACTTCAAAGCTTTATGAGGGTCTATGTAAGATTTGGGTGGTTGTCGACAAACATCCAAACACTTGGTAGATCGACTTGACCCTGGAAGACTTGATTTGCTCATGTTTGGTGGTCAATCGGCTATGATTCTATGATAAATAGTATTCTTAGGTTGTGTCCCGTCACCAGTAACAGTTGGTAAAAGATATTCACCATTTTGAGAAAGGCCTGCAACTAAACCCCCGAAAAAAGTTCAGTGAAACCTGGTTCCATATAATTAGAGTCCTCCTGAAGTAGATAGAATGAGCATATGAACCAATCCCAAAAATAAAAACTGACCCGCTTCTCAATGTTTCTCATTGTTTTGAGATTTTCCCCCATATTCTACTCCAAGATGACTATATACCCATGCAACCCACGCATGTATCATTTATCATCATCCAACGATTTTCGTTGGAACCAGCGAACCCCAAGCTCCACCGGCTTCTCCCCGAGCTCCACCTGAGGCAGCAGCCTCTTGAGCCCGCGCAAACCGGCGCCTGGGCGAAGCACTCCCAGCGACGAGAAATCACAAGTCGACGTGTGTGTTCTTTGGGAAAAAAGAAACACAAAAACTTTGGGGAAAAAGGAAAGAAAACACAAAACGAAACACATGCTTGATGAAGAAGCCGGAAAGAACAAGAACAAGAACGACCAGTATTGCAGGTTGGAGAGTAGATCGTTCAATGCGGATGAAGGTCCTACGACACCGTCGTTTCAGAAAAAACATGAAAAAGCCACTGGTCATACGTGCGGCACCATCGGCTGCAGATGAATTGTTGCACTGCTGCGGCAATTTGCGCCAGTCGGTAGATGATTTGTCCATTGACCCAGGTCCAACCGCTTGCCAAAGCAGGAACAGGCAAGGTTGGATGGATCTTTGATCGATCGGATCTTGTTTAGCCTATGGAAGGAATCCAAAGAGCTTCATGCCGCTTTGATTTCCAGCCTTAAATTGCCATGTGGCTGACTGACAGTTTGGAGATGTGTGTCGCGATACAGCTTCCAGGATTCCAAAGATCAACATGGTAAGAACATGCGGGTTAGCTGGCGTTCGAATACAGGACCAAAACAAGCCGTAAATGACCGGGTCGAGACAGCGAGAGAGCACCTCGGTTTTGAGCTGATTTGAGGAGTACTGTATTCCAGCCGACTCGCGTGGATGGATCACTATACCACCTGAAGATGCACATATTCACTGGTGCAGTGCACAGATTTCTAGAGTGGTTTTCAGGCTCCATGCTAAACATGCTATTTTTGCCAGGGGGAAACATCTTGAAGTAAAGGTTGATGTACAATCATCATCAAACCACCAAGATTCCACCTGTTCTGAGATTCCATCAAACCCTGAACCCCATGTTTGGTTCGGTTCACCTAAAAATCCAGTCGCACACCCAGTCGCACCGGTTTTGTTCTTGCAGGGCCCGCATCCACTCGACCTGTCACGGTGCGACAGGCAGACGCACGCGGGTCGGACGCCACCTGGGGACGCAGGGAAAGGTAAGGTGCCCCAATGAACTTGGTTTGACTCCAACCTACTAGCAATGGCCTCCACCCTACTAGTCCTCAGGTGTACTCTTAGATCCAAAGAATCGTTTTGGTTTAAGGATGTCGTAGACCAAACCACGAATCAGGCGTTGCACCCTTGGCAATGGACCGAATTAAGAACAGTCAAAGTTGGTTAGGGGGTATACCCTGTGATACCCCCAATAAGAATGTCCTCAAAGGACATTGACATCATTGCCCTATATTGCCCTCCATTTCCACTACGACTGATGGGTTCTGGTATGTTTCTGGTCTAATCTGATTCAATTTATGATCAGGGCCATTCTGGGTGTCCTGTCACTACACTACTCCTTTTGGGGGGATCTCCATCCATCCATCCATCCATTCATCCATCCATCCATCCATCCAGGATGGTCCTGGGAAAACCTGGGAGAGGGCCTACCAGGGGGATGGACCTGGCTGAATTTCCGTGGTCTTCGGCATGTCTTAAGACGATACTCTACGGCACCTGCCGTCCAGGACGATCCTCTCGCAATTGTTTCTTGAGTGCCTGTCTGTCCTACAGCTTTGGAAACAATATAGCATGTTGAAGGGTGCTCACAGGCAGTGCTGGAGGGGGTGCAGATTCATTTTCAGTTTCATGCGCCATGGATTCCCAGGAAGCAAGCAAAAGGCATGCGCAGGATCTTTGTGTGTAGTTACGTTGGATGGCCTTTTCTCTCACTGGAATCGAATCTCCTTTTCTTGAAGTGTTGAACTTGAACTTGGGAGGACATAGTTCTCATTGAACTTGAAGCCGAACCTTTGTTCTCATGTGTTACCCCTTGTTTGTGCATGAAGATGAACCATGAAGATGAAGCCGCCAAGACGTGGCATCTGGGTACACCGGAGGGGGGACCCCAGGGATCGGAACCGGTCGGAACCGGTGTGTTGCCATCCGGTTGTTCCATGGAGTCAAGTGAGGGTAGAATCCATGTAGGACGACGGAAAACACACCATGAAATCCCATGAATCATGGTGATAATCATGGTATAATCCCATGATCACCAATGATTCACTGGATGCACTGAATGAGCTGATTTCCTGAAACCACATGGGACGAAGACCTATTCTGTCGCTCTATCTTCGTGATGTGGAAGACTTTAAGACGTGTTCCTTCGAAGAGACCTGATCCACAGGTTCCCGTGACCAGAAGTAGCACTGGAGGCGGGGAAGGTGTCAAGGATGCGTCAAGCATCTCATATGTACCATCATTAAATACTCAGTCTGATGAATGCAAATGCAGACATGCTGTCTCACTCTAATAATGGTGCCTCTGTCACAGTGTTGAATGAAAACCTGTGAAACCTCTGACACCGTTTTGGCCGCCTTCGGCCTTGCCAGGTGAAAGTCTACCGACTTCCAGACCAGTCCGCTCGAAGAGTCAAGACCCGCGGCCTCGCCCCACCTCCCCCCGCCCCCAGGAGCGGCGCCCGGTGGACCGTTCCCCCCGCCCCCGGCAGATGTCCCCGCGCCTGCGCCCGGCGCCGCAAACGGCGCCGCCGCAACCGGCGGCGCCGCCGGCGCCGCGCAGCACCTGCCGAGCGCCGAGCGCCCGGGCGACCGCCCGGCCACAGACGGCGCGGGTGCATCCGACGGGTCCTGCGGGTCACTCCACGGGTCCGCCCAGTGCCCGGCCGATGACCGCGCGGCCGGCCAGTGTGACCAGAGCACCGAGTGTGCCTTGGCAGTCGCTCCAAGGTGGGCAACGTTCCAACGAAAGTACAACCGGAGCTCAAGACCGGCAAAACCCTTTGACAACTCTCTCCAAGCATTGATCAAGATCCGCGGGTGAATAATGCCACCACATGCATCGCCGGTCATCCAGGTCATTGAATGATCCACCAACAGTTTGGATTCGCTACAATAGACATGTACCTTTAAGGTCCGTGAGCACCAACTAACTATAATGTAATAGTAATCTAGTTATAGACATAGATCAATATTTTAGTTTTAGATAATTTATATATATAATAGAGAGAGAGGTTTTAAAGTTCTTTGACCATGACAACTCCATGGTAGGTCGCACTGTAGGTCGCCAACAACAGAGATCACAGCCAGTCCGCCGATTGGCCCAGGTCCGCCGCGAGTCCTCCGAATCGGCGCTCGCCCGCTGTCCGCGCGCCGCGCCGGCTCCGCGCGCGTTGCAAAGCTCCAAAAGTGCCAGCAGCTTGACGCGGGGTAGCGGGACGCCAGGCGAGGAGTCATTCTTTTTTGAAATCGAAGGGTTTCATGAAGATGAAGGAACAGGTTCTGCCTAAGCTGGATGGTGTTTTTTTTGAAAGAAAGGCGGAATTTGAATTGAAGGGAAGGATTAGGAAAGGACATCCTGTTGATCCTCAATGGGATGTCAAAATATATCATCATCATCATCATCATCATCATCATCACCACTTGGTCACTGGACGTGGTTGGAATGTGGATCTCGCTCTGATGGGAAGTGGAATGATTCGTCGGTCTCGTCCACTCGAACCACTGTGGACCTCCCATGATCGACGGAGCCGCCTTGAACCCCTTGAACGGTTGGGCGAGGTTCAAAGATGTCTAACATCGTCTGACACAGATCTCCATTTTGAAGCTAAAAAGACAAGCCAAAAATATTGGAAAGCGTCAATGGCAGCATGGCAGCACTCGGGGAGTATTGAAGTGTGGGCTGCTTTGGGGGTGAGACTGTCAAGTAGACTTGTTTTGACAGATAGCATAGTTAGCTCATCGAGAGCTCCCTACGTATTCTAATTAGGCTGATAGGCCGACTGGGTTGATGGAGTGTTTTGATAGATGCGAATCACACACTAGACATACATGGATGGATACAGAGTCATCCTTTCAATGTTTCTTTTTGATCTGCTTTGGGCTCGCCTTTTCCAGCCATCAAGACCTGACCAGGCTCTCCGGGCTCGCCAGAGCTGCCTTCGGTGGAGGCCAGGGCACTGCACGTTTCCAGGGGTTGGCTGAGCATTTGCAAGTGGATGGCATGGCCCCTTTCATTCGGACCATAAAATCCAAAATATTCACACAGGTGGTGCCGTCCATGTAACCAGGATTCTTTCCAAGGAGTGTAGAAGCTGAAGAAGTCCCAAAAGGGAACTGGTGTCACGTCCCAACCCTTCAGCGCGCGCTTTGGCGCCATGTTCCACACTTGTGACTGGTGGCCTATGGTAACCTTTGCCAGATGAGCTTTGAGCAGAAACCAGTGGTATGAAGTTGTAGGTCCTAGTAGATGAGACAACACTACCCAGGCCATCCATGGGACTCGAATAGTTACCTACAAAATGGGGTCATTGTCATTGGGTAAATGTATGTAACGTGGGCTACTAAACTTGGCTAAACCGCTAAACCGGAGGTTCTGTGGAAACCAGACTTCCGAAGTGACCCTGAACGTTCCTCAAGTGACCATGGCCCCATGGCAGACAGGCATCACCTTTTCAACCACTGAGACAAAAATTCCAGTTATATCCCCTGACAGATGGGAGAGGAGCTTGATTGCAGATGGATATGCGGAAGCTCACCAAACTTGTTAGAAAGGAAGCTTTTTGGGGGGGAGGGGGTGGCAACACTTCAACAATCCCACGACGAACAGTCTGATGATCAAAAGGGCCACAGAAATCCGGCACTTTCAGGGCTCGCGGTCACAGCCTTCAGTGGTCATTTTGGACACTTCGGAAAGCTTGGAAGGGTGCACTTTTAGGATGGTTCGGATGGTCTTAATTCATAGGTGCACCATGGTGCACCCTAAGCTGGGGTGCACTTTTGGAGGGGTGAAAGCTTGTTGGGACGGACCACTGCGCATGGTCAGGAGCTGAAGCGAATGATCGAAGAGACGAAGAAGGAGGCGCATGTCAGTCGTCGAGGCTGCATCTCCTTCAGCTGCGAGGTCATCACAGTTGGTTTTCTTTCTAGAGTATGGAACCCTGAATCTAAACTCTGGTAGCATGGTAGCTGTTTATTGGCAAAGCAGGCAAAAGCATTCCACGTTCGCTCGCCCAGCAATCAAGCGGGCTGGTGCTGAACGCAATGCCCGCGGAACGTATTCGGCGGCTTGGACGGTGTCCGGAACCGGGACAGATGTCGCGGGTGACCCGCCGGAGACCTGTCCTGGGAAACGGCATGAAACGTCATGCAGTACTTGTGCTCCGAAAGGAAGTGCTTGGATCAATCTTGACGTACTTTTTGCCAAGGCACAACGGCACAGCTATGCCAGAAACCCAAGCATGTGATGATTTGCTATGTTTTACTGGCACATACAGGCACCGAAGAGCCCAAAAGCATCTTCCGTGGAGAATCGACATGCATTCCACGAGTGCTTTGCAGTGGGGTCCCTTCTCAGTGATCACTCGAGTCACCACTTCGCCGGTTTCACGGGAAACGGCCAACGGACGCCCAGCTCGGTGGATCTCTGGGACAGCTGACCGGGTCCAAGTTCCCCCCCCCGCCCTGATTTTTCAGTCGTAACAGGTCCAAACCCGAACAGTTCGGAGGGTTCCATGATGCTCAGGGTGGGAGATTGAGGGAAAGAACCCCGAATTCGATCATGTCTAACATGTCGAATGCATGTCGGTCTTGGTGTCTTTCACACGGAAGGTCGACGCCGACAGGTGCCCCCCACGCTCGGTCCCCTTTCAGGTGCGCGAGATCCGACAAGTTGCCCGGCAGAGGGGGGAGCTGTGTTGGCTTTGGGTTTGGATTTGGTGTGTGAAAACGTGTTCGATTCGTAAGGTGGGGGGCGTTTTGGGGTTGATGTTGGGTGGTCGATCAGAGCATAGCAGATATAGCAGAGCCATATAATATTTGTGAATGTGAACCACAGAAGATGGGTTGAACCAAGAAACATCGTCTTCAAGATCTCGACCCATGGGTTGAACCTCTGTTTTGTGATGTTCCGAAGCAGATCATGTTGGTTCTCTTGCTGCCCAAGGTGGAGTCAAAGACCAGATGGCAGATTGTCAGGGAGGCGCGGACACCTGGCCCTTGCTGTTTGTATGTAGATTATGCAGGGCCTAGTCAAGAGTCAGTGGTGGGTTGGGTTCTTCTGGGTCTTCTGAGTGCCTAAACGAAGGTGGTGACAAGCGACAGGGTGATGAACAACAGCTCTTTGTAGAGTTAATGGACTTCATGGCAGCAAAACTTCCAACCATATATGCAATATATATATATAGTCTTATATCTATTGTAATATACAGTTGATTACCTAGAACCTATTTGACTCCTTTTTTGATGGGAGACGACCATATTTTGGCTGGTTGCTGAGCCAAAATCGAGGTCACTCAGGTTCTAGGTATACATATGATACATATTATGTGCCATAGAAGTTTCGAAGGGAAATTCAGAATTGATGGGTCCCATCCACCAAGTCGGCAGGAACGCAGAGACAAACTGGCACAGACGATTGCCACCCAGAGCGAGTTGAGGGATTGGCGCTGGAAGCAGGCGCGAAGAAAACAGAACGGGAAGATGATGTGCTCAGTATGATCGAGCACATGAAGTCTATCAGTATGATCAACGGCCGTAAAGCGTGTATATATATATATATTTACTATACAACATATATATATATATGTATACGTATATGATATGCATGTGTAAGTACCTGGGAACCAAAACAACCAGAAACAGATGGTTGTTTCAATATGGCTTGCTTGAGATCCTTTACAAATGTTGGAAATGGATAGAAAATGGCTGGGTCGGACTGGCGAAACATCCATTTCTTTTTGGTTGGGACTGGGTTTCCAGGTGTATATATAACTATATTGAGCGCCAGTGATTATCATTGTATATAACTATAATGAGTATGTATATATAACTATAAACTCTTATATATATATATTGAGCGCCTTTGATCGCCTAGGGCCTAAGAGGGGCTAGTGATCCAGCCTGCCTGGGGTGCTTTCCGATGACTCGCATCATCTGACTGCGAGCCGATGACTAGCAGGTAGAGTAACGCTTACTTGATAATATGATACTGTTTGAATCTGTTAGAATGACAAGTTTTTGAGGCGAATCAGCTTGCATTGAAAGCTCCCTGAGCCAAGGTTCATTCCCGTTCTTCAATCTTTTGAAGCAAAGCGCAAAGGTCAACACTGGTCGATGTGACCCTGCCAATCTGGTTGTTCTCCCTTTTCGCCGCACTGAACATCACAACCAAGGAGGTCAGGCTAATCCCACCCACGTTCGCTACGCTGCAGCGCGTGGGGCGCGGTGCGTAGCGCGGTTCAGCGCACGGTGCAGCGCGCGTCCCACCGCACGGCGCCCGCGGCGATGTGGAGGTAGAAGGCATGAAGGCATTGGCCTTGCAGAGAGCTCAAGAAGCCAAAGAAGTGGATCTCAAGGAGAAGCGAAACACGGCTTCTCGCTGTGTGAGAGAGACAGGTGACTGGTTGAGGGGATTTGTTTAAATCCATTCAGGCACTGCCTGTGTGCAGAAGATGGACACTGAGTCTCGGGACCGTAGTATATAGAAGATTTCTGGATGCACATGAGTTTTCGTGGAAATTCTTCTTTGATTGGTCATGATGCTTTTTGATTGCTCATGGCCAACAGAATTACTACGAATTACTATTTGATACTATTTGTATATACTAGTTGTATCTATGTGTGCCATCAGGTCCAAGCTTGCATTGGTACTGTTTGAAGTCTAATTGATTAGGCTCCAAACTTGTGCTTCAATGGCACGCTGGAACTCAGTGTCATCCCAGATATTGTTGAGGTGAGTCATGAACTTCCATGAGGAATAAGATCATTTGCCATGCCTTACCTGATGATGTTTGGCCACTGCTTTGAACCATCTCAAACGTCACGTTCTGTTCAATTCCCTCAAGGACTTATCCGGTGCCGCTTCTGGCCGGACCTCTTCCGCTTCCGCTCGCCTTCCGCTGGCTCGCCACCTGCCCCTTTTGCCCCAGGAGTCCAAGGAATTCGTTCAGTTCAAACGCGAGGCCAAGTTGAGGACGCGGCGGAATGGATCAGACGTCAAACTGATTGATGACTATGGAAACTTTGCCATGGAATCTCGTTCACCTTCCGGCCACGGGACGCTCGATCGACGAAAACCGTGGGATCGACTCGATCCTCGATCCTCGTGGCACCGAGACAAGGATCACTGGGACCGATCGCGGGTGTTAGCTCCACTCAAATCCCAGAGGTCACCAGTACTGACAATGGGAGATGTCAGGGGGTGAAGAAAGGTGAAGGTGTGATTTTCCCCATGGAAACGGCTTGGGAGGTCGGAACATCGTCGGCCTTGGGAGGTGGAAAACGGTCTTTTGAAAGACAGACTGTTCTTTTTGTTGTGTGTGTGTTGTTTTGGTTGCATGCAAAGCCCGTTTCCCTTTGGATTGGTTGCCATCAATCGTTATCCAGGAACATGATGGAACATGCGTTTATGACGGACCAGTTGACATAGCATATCACAGGAGGCTACATCAGAGTCATACCCCTCGCGTACCTTGTTTGCGAAGGGGTAATGGATACCGCTCATAGGCTGGGGTATCAGAAGACCTATCGCCACAGTTCTTGACCTTTTCTTGGCCTGGCTTGTTCTCGCAAGCGAAGGCAGCTATAGGGCCAAACGGTGTTATATAAAACAATGGAAGACTGACTGAAGATCTCGACGTCAGGGATGATGCTGCTGATCCTTGTTACTGGTGTTTGCCCCTTTGAGTGCGCCACTTGCGAGGAGCAAGGAGCATGAACTGCAATACCAGACAGAGGCCCGACTGTGAACGTGGCCCCCGCACGATGGAAATAGATGTGAGTGGGGGTGGGGTCATTTGTATGTAAAAATAGATCAAAACCCTTAACATCTGCAAAGCCTGGAGCCCCCTACTAGGTCTGCTCCTCTCTGGGTTTGCTTGGTTCATTGGCTGCTAGCCATGCCCAGACTCCAGAGTCCTCCATCTCGCCATTGCCAAAAGGAGTGCCGAAAGAGTCCTCCATGGATCGTCCCAAAGAGTTTTGGGTGAGCTGTGGGTGGATGGAATCGTAACTTAGAACAATTTGATGACAAAAGCCTATCAATGCGAAGTCTTCCTCAAGCCACAGGGTGTTCACCAACGAGCAACGTTTGACGTGATGTCACCAGTGGGGGCTCTATCCGGCACTGGCTTGTCCGTGCAGGTCTATGAAGATCGCAAGAAGGAGCTCAGACTTGTTTACAGAGAAGAGATCCGGAAAGCGGAGATGTCACTGTGTTCTAGAGGGCTTCTTTGTATCTAGAAGGTATGGCCAATCAAAGCTGAATGTAGTAGTATCAATGGCCCTAGTTGGGGAGTAAAGTTTCTTCATCATTCTGGCTTTGCTGTAGCACTTTGGAATGCTTCGCACCTTACATTTCCCCTTTGTCTCCCACTTGGATATATGTAAATAATCACCTTACAGTCCATAAAGGCACACATTGGCTTGAAAACTGTGACGTGCAACTTTAGAGGTTGTGGGCAGGTAAAGTTGTTGTTTGTGCCCTTGGGGTGAATGGCAGACGGCGTAAGCTCGTACAAGCTCGAAAGAATTGTAGTATCCAAGTAGAAGTTTCGTCCGAAAGCATCGAATTGCCAGCCAAACAAAGCCACTTCTCATAAGGGTTATTGATGTGTATTCATAGATGCACTAGGCAAAATCGGCAGATATCTTGCAGAACTAGTTCCCTGAATATGTATTTATATATATATATATGTGTGATATGTTTATATTATACACACGTCCATATGCATGTTGCTAGAACTACCAGAATTGACACCCTCAAGTGGTCCCTGCTCTTCGGCCCCCAATCCCTCAGTCTCAGATCACCCAACGCAGAGGACTCTGCCTGGACGGTGGAGAAAGCGCGGGAGGCCAGCCAACAAGAACAGGCGGGCAGAGTCGGGGTCCAAAAGGGTGAGAACGAAGGAGACAGGAAGGACTGACAGGAAGGACTGGGGATTTGGACGGATTCAAGGAAATCTCTGGATTTGTCCGACCAATCAAGGCCATACATGGCAAAATTCTAGATCCCATGACATGGATCACATACTTTTGATCGTGGCGCAAGAGTCATGAGTTCCGTTTATGACCCTTTCAATGGTTCTGGTGACAGGCCCTCGTGCGGGAGAAGGTGGAGGACGTGCAGCAGCTGCGACAGGAGACGGAGATGGAGACGGAGATGTATCAGATCCTGGACCCAACAGTCCTACCCCCGCAACTCTGTGGATCAGCTGCCCACTTCTCAGTGAGACACTCCACAAAAAAAGTCCAATATACAGTAGGGTCTTTTTCAGGACCAATGGAGTAATAGGGTCTTTTATACAGTATATATCAGCTGCCAATACAGTAATAGGTGGAGTTTCTTCAGGACTCGCAATGTGAACCCGGATCGAGTCGTCTTGCGAGTTGTGAAGGTCAGTGACCTCGCTCCATGAGGGTCGATGGGTGACACGAAAGGAGAACGAGGAAGAACGGTGAAAGGCTTGGCAGTGAAGAACGGTGAAGAACGCATGGTCTGGACAGCTTCCATATGCCTGAGCAGCGCAGGGCACATATTAAAACCATGTTAAAACCGTGTTCCAAACAAAAATGAAGCCATTCCGGTGTGTAGAAAGGAACCTTGGTGGGTCAAGCACTCACTTCATTCAAGTAGGTGGGAACCACCCAAACCCTGCGTGGTCGTAACGGGTTCTCATCTTCCGGGGGTCCCAGGCATCGTGGTGGCGTCGTTTCTTTCAGTGCTGGGGACCGTCAGCATGTTGCTTCGTTGGTACCGGCTCACTCCTTGGTTCCAGGTGGACCTGTCAAGGAATTGGGTTGATAGACCAGATGATAGACCATGCCAACCATGCCATAGTCTCAGGTCTTTTGCTGTTCAGCTTAGTCTCTCGGCGTTTTCTCCAGGAGAAAAAGCAGCAAGTGGAGCAGCAGAAGGTCATCGCCGCACAGGATTTCGACCACATCGACTCGTTCGACGCACCATCTTCCCAAGGGGTGGCCCGGTTAGCCTCCAAAGACGAGTTGGGAGTGGTGAGCCGCTGGAGTGAGACATGTGTGGGGGGTGTTTTTTCATCAACTTGTTCTTAGGCCTTATGACGAATGCTTTGTGGGTGAACTGGCAGTTTGAGAGTTGATGATTTTTGATAGATCCCATCCAATTAAAGGAGTTATATACTGTAATTTGTTTCCATGTTTCAGGCCATTTCAGGCTGCAGATTTGGGGGGGAGACTGGCGGATTTTGGAGTCAATGAGAGTCGTTATATAGGATGATGTTTTTCCCGAACTGAGTGAATCCCCTTCTGGGGAATATGCGAATATGAATATGTGTATGTTTGTTTGTCCGGCTCCATACTTAAGAACATCCAAGAGATCATCCAATGTTAGGTGTTTAGAGCAAGAACCCAAGAGGCTTGGTGAGCAAGAGCATCAACGTCCCAAGCCTGGCTTTGTCCCATCTTTCGTCCTTTCGCAACGTCCACGAGGAGCGAGCGCTCCAAGAACACATGGATGTGGCGCATTTGGCTCGGCAGCTGGCCGCCGAGAAGGCGCCGGTTCGCGCGCGTTGTCTCCGAAGGTGCGAAGAAGAGACAGAGACCATTTCTTGAGAAATCACCCCAAGAAATGGACTTCGCAAGGTAGACAGGAAAAGGAGAAACGGTGTACGTAGTACTTCTGAGATCTTATCAGTACTGGCAATTTCTAGCTGGGCATGTACTTGGGAAGGTAGAGATGGTACCACCTTGGGTGCTTTGCATGTTCTTGTCCAACCGTTCATGCCATGGAAATTGAGAGCCTCTCTAAGTGGAGTCGACAAACTCCTTCTCCCAGCACTTCACTCTCTTCATGGCGCTTGAATCCAAGAATTTCAGCACCGATAGGCCCAATAGGCTGGGATCCAACTGCCCATCATGGGAGGTGGTCAATCCTATTAGGATTGATTTCGATTGATCCAACAATCGAAGCTCTGAGTTTCTCATCTGATTTTTGCGGGGCTATCCCAGATCCGACCATCCTCAGGTGGGGAGAGGAGAGGAGCAAGAACGAAAACCCCTGTGAGCAAAACACAACTAACTGCAACTACTGGTCGATTCTTCTTGTCCACCCAATGGAGATAGAGCCCACTGAGGACAGCCTCACGTCTGTTGCACGAAACCGTCTGTCGTCCCAGGCGTTCCGGCAGTCTGTCGTTCCAAGTCCAACGGAAGGAAACCCAACTGCCAACCAGCGTCCTCCACTGGTTTGATGGGTGTTTTTGTTCCGCCCCCCCGAAAAAAGAATGGCACGGTGGAGGTGGAAAGTGTTCAATTCCGTGCAAAAAAGACACCCTCATGCATCTCACGCTCTGAGCCGAGTGGTTCAGCCGGTGTTGGGCAGGAAAGACTACTGGAGAACCTGCAGTTCAGCCGCAGCTGTTTACAGGCACCTTTAAGGCTTGAGAAAAGCAGAGAGAGCTCGGAGGATGTTCCGCTTTTTGTTTGTTGATGTTTGTTTGTGTGTTTGTTTGTTTGTTTGATTGTTAAGGTTTGTGGAGTCCCAGCAACTCTGGTTCTAACCTGAGCACAAAATAGTATCCCAATCAAGAATATGTGCTTGTTTCACTGAAATGACTGTTAGAATAAGTTTGATCAGTTCTACTGTATCGGACCATGAATTGGGCAAAGAAAACCGACTGAAGCCAAGAAACGGATGAAGTCGTTGTTTTTTGGAGCGCTGCGTGGACATCTAAAGACGGCAGAGACTCCTCCAAACTGGATGCATCCAGGTTCTTCTTCCCTCAAAAGACCAGGCCGTCTTCGCTGGTCGCTCGATCCAAGTAGGGTGTTCTCAGTGAGGGTTCTCCTACTGGGACTCTCCATGAACGTAACTCCGATTGGTGTGGCCGAACCACGCTTTAAACAATCCCCCATAGAATCGGCGGTTCCAAACAGTTGGCTTTGGAACATTCTCCCCAAATCAGGAAGCACATTTGTGCGGCATCTCCCAACCTGAACGATTCATACGGGATGCGAAGATTGATCTGGGTACCCCAGCAGATCAGGCCGATTGATCAATCCTGATCACGAAGAGTTGTGTCCGATCACATTCATGAAGGCCTAACGTGTCACGAGTGGATCTTCCACTTTCTTCTCCAATGCAAGGGGTGACAGTCCGTGAACCCCGGGATAGGGGTCTTTGACCTAGAGTGTGGAACGATCCAGGTGGGGGGGTCTCCCAGAAACACGATCCGGTTGCCACAACTCCGGCCCGTTCAGGCGGAGATAGTCCAACCTCGTGACACGAACGGGGGCAATGAATGTGTTTCAGGCTGGGTCCAGCGATCTGGTATGGCATGACTGGGCTTCGTGGGGATTCGGACGGACCTCCTTGGGCGCATGAACTGCTTGCTTCACTACTGGCGACTCGGGAACCACGCAGGCCCACACAGATCAACGAGTGTTCACCTCGTTGGGTCAAAATTGGGTGTATGCCAAAGGCCTGGAGCTGAACTTCTTGCCCAAGTTTGGTTCTACGATCTTTTGCTGCCAGTCTTTTGTAAAAAAACGTGGGAAAACATCAGCAACGTGGGGAACGAAAGTTGGGTGGTTTCCCTGATGTCCATGTTCTTCTTTCTTTTTGGTGGATTTGCTGCTAAACCGCAAGTGAACATTTTCGCTGGATCTACCCACAGTGTGAAAAATCCTACTGTAAGGATCTAACGCCATGAGATGCCACCAAAGTGGCTGCACATTCCGATTCCCATATTCACTGAAGTCCAATTGTCTTTTTAGACTAGCTTTTGATCCAAACGGGTGCTGCGAACTTCTGCCTCTGGACGAAAACGGAACTCTTCGAAACGGTTTTCAATTGAACGAGCACCGCTGAAGGCCTTGGACGTCGTCCATCTTCGAATCTTCAACCTTAACTGGATGCCAATTAAGAAGCAAAGCTGGAGTAAGCTGGAGTACTTGGTTTAAGCGATCTGGTTTGACCATCCAAATACAGTTTGACCATCCGCTCGATTATCCAGTCCCGCCGTCCACGCGGCGTCCGAGGCGAGCTCGCTCCGCGGGACCGTCCAGAACAAATCGGCGGCCTCCTTGCGGTCGAGACCGCGACCGCCCGCAGAAGACGTGCGACCAAAAAGAATCCCAACCAGTCATACCATGATGAAGTTCAGGAATATGCTGGGTCCTGTGGTAGGCACGAAGCCTGTGGGTGTATGAACAAGGGCCAATCAGATGAAAGTGTTATGTGTTCTCCATACTTGTATGTGCCACCAATCTGATCAATCTGCTTATTCTGCATTGACTGGTGTTAAAAAAACAAGAAAGTGTTGCTTCGGGTAGCTGAACTTTAGGTTTGCATCACCTCTCTCGGAACGATACAATGGGACGATGAAACTCACTGAAGAGCAGAAATCCAGCACTCCACTGAAAGACAGCCAGGTGGTGGCTTCTTTTCCGCGTATGTGTAGTATGTGCTCCATCGTGTTGTTTGAGTGGTTTCCAACAGATTGGGCATTGGAAAGGCCAGAAAAGCTTGAGGATCAATGTCTATACCCATCATGTTCAAAAATGTGTGCAGATTTGTATGAGGATTATGAGGTCTATAGGGACGGGAGAGTGCATAGCTTGTCTACTCAATGACTTGGGTATATATTATATGTGCATGTGGCATGTGTATTAAAATAGGAAGACCTGGAAGAAGAAAATGACACCCGTCTACCCAGCCAGGGCGATCGGGGGTCTCCCTAGTAAAGGGCACATCCCATATGGTTTCCTGTATGTGTTCCACAACGTCAATCGCAGGATTTCACCGATTTGTGGAAGTCCATTGCCATTGGACTGAAGTGGGACGAGGAACTCTCATTGGTGCACATTGTTGGAGTGTGCGACAATGGATGCAGTAAGATAGAGAGAAGACAAGAGATAGAACAGTTGCGGTACATGCCGGATTAGGCCGGTTTGGGTGCTTCATAATACATGAAAGGTGTAGCACCACTTTGACCCTTCCAAAAATCCGCTTTTGGGCAGATCAAAACAGTCTTCTCAACAGAAAGGTGTTGGCATGGGCTGATCCGAACAAGTGCCATCTCAGTTGCCGTAGCGAGATGAGACAAGCTGCATGAGCATGAGCCGCAATGGAAAGTTCGACATCACAAAACCAAGACACACTTGTCATTTAATGCTAGGAGCGATGGTTCTGGGCTCAAAGAAGAGGAATAACATGTGTAAAAAATAATGAATTGTTGAGACAGATTCAACTTGTTCACCATCCGACCATCTGCCAATCCACTTGAAGAGAGCTCTTCAGCCTTCGTGCGTCCTGCAGAACTCTGACCCCTGCTTTGACCACGCGACCCCAATTCATGGCTTTGATCAGGGTCAAAGGACCCCAGGTTGGGCCAAACCTCTCAAAACGGGCCTTCACCAGAAAAGGGAGGGTCTCTCAAAACAGGCACTACAAAGCTTTGGATTTGTTTGGATTCAACGTCACAGAATCCGATGAGTCATCGTGCGGAGCCATATTCCACGCACTGGACTGGCACAGGTACGGGTAGCTCAGGCATTTGAGTCGGGGGTTGGGGGGAGATTCAGATCGCTTGGTGACTCACCCGACGGACCTCTTTCCAAGAAAGGGAAAATAGCCCAGTCGTCTTTGTTTATTCAGGTGGATTGTGATATTCATTCAGGAGTGTATTGAAGAAAGCGGACCAAGTAGACTCGTAGACCATCTTTGAGGCGGTTGAGTGGAAGGACGTTCTTCTTGATTGAAACATATTGACAAGGGATTGGCAACGTTGACCCAAAGGTAACCCATACGCCGCACGCGCCGAACCAACACCAAACCAGTGGCCTACCCAAAGTGGCAAACCACCCGACGCCGCACGCATCTCAAAAGCTCTTCACTCTCGGAGGTCGGAGTTCGAATCGACTCAGTATACGAGGCTCGTGTCTTCTGGAGGACTCAGCAGATTACGACCCAATCAAACAAAAACGCATGGGGAAGGGGGGGGGCACAAGGGATTCTTCCCTCACACCATGGATGTTTCATGAGGTTTCACTGCACCGATCCAACAGAGGTTCAGTGACCTAAAAAAAGGACCCTATATAGAGGTACCTAGATAGATAGTAGATAGATAGATAGATAGATATCGATAGATATCGATAGAGATAGAGATATAATATATATAGTCTATAGGGACCTTCAACCTCTGTTGGCGGATTCATTTTGTTTTGGAGCGCTGGCAGTCCGAGGCGGTGGGCAGTCCGTGTGTCGGCACTTCTTGCAGGGCAAATGCACGTTCGGCCCGGAGACCTGGTTCGGGTGGCGAGCTGATGGGCCTGGTGGCAGAGCTCAGATGGGGAATAGAGAGTCTTTTTAGACCACACTGGAGGTGGGTTGGTTCCGGAATTGAGGTGGCTCACTTTTGTCCGACAGATTCTTTTGATGATAGGTTTGGTCGAATCGCCACCCAACCAAACATGCACAACTACAGGGAGATAGGACCACCAACTCATTGATGAACAAGTTCAGTACGACACCCGCGGGACCGGGGAGGGTGTGTGCGTGTGTGAGAGGCACGTTTCGTTGACCAGATCTAAGCATTTGCGTCTAGTGATACGAATCCAGGGGCAAGGATGACTACTATACTTGTGATAAAATTACTGTAATGATCCGTAATTAGTTCATGGATTTCAGTGGTTTGCAATTGATACGGTCTGGGAAAATGCATTTCAAGTATATATTTGGGCACAGACTTTCTCAAAACGTGGCCCAAATCGAGGTGAGGTGCCAATGAACAGTGCGAGATGCCTACCCCAGTGATGGATGAGTGACTGAAACTGGGAAACTGAGTCTACGTAGGATTGCAAGCTGTTTGGGTTGCGCTTGTCATTGTGTATGTGGCCAAGCTTGACAAGACTTGTGGGCTCTATTGCTCAGACACAGGGACTGCAGGGACTCCCAAGCCGTGTTGGATCTCGTTCAAGGCAGTGGGACTCCCCGCTTGGACGGCAGCTCTTCCTTTCGGACCCACCGCCGAGGTGAGGCCTGCAGCTTCAAGCACGAAGGGAGCGCACCAGGTGCGGCCTCGAAACCGGGGTCAGAAGGGTCCCAGTGGGCCGAACGCGACGTGTTTGGGTCCCCAAAGGGCCGAACTCAGCTATTACAGAAGCAAAATGCTATTTGATCAGTTCTAGAATTATTTAGAATAGGTTCTGAGCTATTTGATCAGGTTCATCAGATTTGCACAGGTCGAGCATGTTCTGAGGAACTGTGCAAATCCGCACTGGAGACCCATGCAGCACTGAAACCGTTGTCAGTGCCTCATGCGCCAGGCGCAATGCCCGTCCAAGGGGTCCAGATGGACGATGAGAGGCCGCCTCGGTCCACGCGAGGACGGAAGATGCAGTGTTTCACTCAAGGGTGCGGCCAGGCCCAAAATTCTACGAGCCGCTTTTGGGGCCACACGGCATGAGCAAAGGCAATTATAACAGAGACTTGTTCCCTTGTTGTACAGTTCCTAGTTGGGGAGCTTGTAGCTATGTAGCTGGAAACAGCTTGGCCAGGGGCATGTTCCTACCCCCAAAGGTCTTAGCTTAAGCGAAGCGAGCAACCACCAGAGGCGTGCGTGTTCTTTGTTTCTCGCGTCCGGCGAAGGTGTTCGCAGGGGCGGCCAGACAGGCGAGGATCTCGATCGTTGCCAGGCCTGTCTGCCGGCATTTCCTGGAAGGGAGGTGCACCTATGCTGATGCTTGCCGCTTCAGCCACCAAGCGCCCGAAAGCGCCAGCGCCGGCGGCGGAACCTGGAAAAGCCCAGAAGGCCGGGCCAGGAAACGTGCTTTTTCATGGCCCGTTTGTTCCAATGACCTCAGGTTCCTGGCGGTCTAGGTCAATGAATGCAGCATGTGTGAAGCGATTTGGCAAACTGGACGAGTGATTTGGTGCGAAACATGGCACCAATCAGCCCAGCCAATTCAGGCATCCCTCAATTTCAGCATCTCCAGTGTGCAGGGACAGCTTGAGCTCGAGCTCCAAGAGCCAAAATGATCCCTATTTAGATCTATTTAGTAGGTGTCAACCCGTTTCTTGTTCTTGCCAATGACCTGAGAATCCCTATTATGCTCCATGAATCAAAGCAACCAGTGTGAAGGATGGTTTAGCAGTTTAGAACAGTACACACCCTATATAGCTCACCCTGGGACGTTGGACATTTCTTAGATGGAAGCCTTTCAGATGGCCAGATAATAATGAGAATATCATCCACATGAGAATTGGACAAAAGCATACAAAAGCTTTGGTTTGGGTCCCCCCCCCAAGTTGCTTCAGAATGGAAAGAGGAAGGCGGCCGAGGTCCCTTGACCATCTCCAAGGGATCCCTTTACCCAAAAATTTGGTGCGTCAGTCATATCTTCACTGAGAAAAAGATGTGCCAAGCAAAAATAAATACGTATATAGTTTAATGGTTTCGAACCTAACAATGTAAGAGGTACAAGTGAAATCCAATGAAGATCAATGAAGCCTGCAAGTGCCTTTAAGCTACTAGTAAAACCAAGGGCCTTACTACTAGTAATTCTTGCTACGTTCGTAGCGTCCTTGTTACTAGTAGTAAGGCCAGGAGCTACTAGTAGTGTGGCATCCCATCAGTGTTCCTCTTCAGGACTGGCGCCGAGTTCCGGTGATGACAGGCCGCGAGACCGGTCAAGTCCGTTGAGCCGGCAAACGCAGATTCGTAGAGGTATCTACTTATTGCATATGTGTGTAGATAGATGGATACCTAGAACCTGAGTGCAGAATATTTTTGGACCACCAACCACCCAACCTATGGTCTAACTTCCTATCAAAACAGGGGTCATGTTGGGGTTCCCGGTAGAAACATCTGCGTCTGTTTGCAGTCGACGGGCGGATCCGAGAAACCAGCAGGTTTACTCTGCTGAAAAGCGCCGAAGATCCCGGCGCAGCGGATCAGACGCTGGACGCTGGTCGTTCGGTTTAACGGGGGTTTTCCTCACGTTCCTCCCGTTCTCCAGCCGTGGACTCCGGCAGACCTAGCGGACCGGCAGGCCTGTCTGCCGGCATTTCCTGGAAGGGAGGTGCACCTATGCTGACGCTTGCCGCTTCAGCCACCAAGCGCCTGAAGGCGGAGCTCCTTCGCTTTCGCCGGTCATCCATCTTGTTCAGAGCCAAAAGGAAGGAATGCATATGGGCCAAAAAAGCATCTAGACATATCCAGACCCTGTATTTCACGGGATTTTGGAGGGTGGAGGTTCCAAGGATTCTTAGAGTGAAGTATGGTGAAGTCTAAGTACTTGCTGCTCCTGTCGTTTGTCGTTCGCATCTGGTCAGCTCCTGTGGAAGGCCCTGGACCAGCTCCGAATGCGGACGACAGGCACAGCGGGGTCTCATGCACAGCTCCGAGCAAGCTCGGACGCGGGATGACAAAGGGGATAAAAAGCCATGTGTTTGTTGCAATAAAGTGATTGCTCGTCGGGTGTCTCATGTTTCTTTGCAAGAGTCTATGCACGTAACACAACATCTTGTGTTCCTGTGTTCCTTGCATGAATTTGCAGAAACATGCAAATCCACAAGGATGCAGTCGATTGTTTCTAATCGGCGTTGCATGCAGACAGAAATCGAAAACCCACGAACTGGATGATAAGCCGGTATAATAGTTTCTGGCTGGTAGGTTGCGTGACCATTTTTTTGCAACTGGTGTCCCCTCCTGTTGATACTGGAAACAGTAAGTTGGTAGCCCCGTGCTTCCAACTCGTGCCAAGTGCGGATGGCAGGCCAGTCTGCCGGCATTTCCTGGAAGGGAAATGCACTTACGCTGAAGCTTGCCGCTTTAGCCATGATGCCCCAGGATTCCAACCACCAGGCAGCCTGGGAAGAAGATCCAGAGAAAAAAGCCGCCAATGCGCCAACACGTCAAATATCGGCCTGGTTGACCTTCAGAAAATACAAAAACCGATAAACACCTAGCACATCCTAGCACTTCTGGGTGTCCTGCTTAACAGACCATTATATAAGCATATATAAGCAATCTATAGGGTAATGTAGGGTTGCTCGTAGTTTGTGCTTAGTGGCTTAGTGGAGTTGGTGCTCTAAAAGGACTGAAGCTTTCTGAAAGCTCGTCGCTCTATGCCACTCTTCAACTCGAAGATTTATGGCGGAATAAGCTGGTCATAGCTGGTGTGCAGGACCATAGTATGAATGTAACGCATATAGTTCGAAAACCAGTGGGGACCCCAGCCAGTCAGCATCACTGAGATTCCACCTTTCCCTTCAAACCAAAGGCGGTTCCGACTCCGTCCAGCTGAGCTGGTGCGGGACAAAAGGCCACCGAAGAGTCTGGTGGAGAAACAAACGCTTTTCGGTCTGTTGGTGCGGTGCCGGGCCGAGCTGCTTCCATTCGGTCGCGAATGAATCAAGTTCCGGGTGTTACAACCACCGAACTGGAAACAAAAGCGTCCGTAATCTGAACCACGAGCACTGGTCACCACAACTGGCGTCCGTCACAACTCAAGGTTAAAGCAACAACTATGCTTGGAACTCACAGTCGAACGCACGTCCGCGTTGGAGCGTCGAACGTCCTTCTTTCGGCTTCCGCAACTGTTGCGTGTTCGCCCTCGCGAGACATGTGGCGTTTTCCACCGCAACGGGCGCCGGCTCCACCGCAAGTCCGGGGGAAGGCAGTCCGATCGCTGGCAAGGCAGTGATTTGGGGCACAAGCCGGTGGACGGCCAAAGGCAGGGCAGAGCGACTTGTTCTTGTCGTCCAAGCTGATGAGTTGGTCGATTATTTTATTTCGAATCTCTCCTCCGAAGTACCCTAACAGTTCATGTGTGGAAAATTGTGGAAGTATATATACCCTAGAAGTCCAAACTATATTTTGACCGGCTGAAGTAAAGGAAGTTCCCTTTCAGGTCCCCTAAAGACCATTATGTTTATAGTCTTTGACTCCCAAGGTATACTTGTACAACTATATACAATATATGGACCCCGTATAGGGAACGGAGTCTATGAACCGCTGCACCCCCAACCACATGATCTTGTTGTGGATTTGTTTGGTTTGAGGACAGCTATGTGGAATCAAGGTGGAGGGGGAACGCAGTGGTTCTTGTCCTCTCATTTTGACATATTTCGACAGACGCCTGAGTCAACGTTTGAGACGTGGCCGAGGTTGTCCAGAATATGGTTGACATTTGTCGAAGATCGTTCCTGTGCGATTACACAGGTCCATGTTCGACCACCATCCACGAGACATGCTTCATTGTCGCGGACTACCCCCGAGACATGCTCACCACTGGCAGGCCAGTTTGCCGGCATTTCCTGGAAGGAAAGTGCACCTATGGTGCTGCTTGCAGCTTCAGCCATGAGGGCATCCCCATGACCGCGAGTTTCGCAGGCCCCAAAAGCCTGAGAGGAAGGGTGGGGCAGGTACTATTCAAGGAATGGTCTTCATTCAAGGAATGGTCTTCAGGTTCGGAAAGTCAGAAACCAAATGGTGA